TTTGGCGGGAGGAAGAGGTTGCCTATGTTGCTGGATTTCTTCTCAAGGATGTTCGAAATTTAAAAGGTAAAGTCGATGTATTTTGCTTTGTATATCGTGCTTCTACTGCCACATCTATGTTATAACCGGGAATAAACTACATTTGCATCCATATTTACATTTGTAGCATGTATGAGCACGCGTGTCGCGTGCGTATATGTGGTAGTGATCCAGCTGAAAAAAGCCTTGTTGAAAAATTTAAGTGGTGTTAAGTCAGCAAAATATGTAGTTATGCAATGTTAAAATGCTAATTTATTGGTATTTGGCAGAAGTAGCTCAAGATTAATTGCTTGAGTAATTTATACTACCTCTGGTGCTATATTGACATATTGAGCGTAATACCTGTACATGTACCATTGATTTTGACAGGGGTAGGGTGGAGCCTTTATTTTATATACATTCAGCGTGCAAAGAAAGTAGTGTCCGATAGCCCGGGGCTAGCGGATTTTGCTATCGGATTTTGCTATCGGGCTAGTAAATTCTGTTCTTCACTTGCCCGACGGGCAAGTACAATGCAGTTTGAGGAATTCACCTTACAGAAGAACTGTTAAATCAAAAATTTTGTGGGTAGTTGAAATGACGTTTGGGCTAGTAAATGTTAGCTTCAGCTTGCCCAAATGGCAAGCTGTAAAAATGACTTTCTTTGCACCCTGTACGTTACTGTCATTTTTTTCTGTTTTGTTTTGTCATGTTTTCATATACAAGGTTGTTTTGTTTATAATAGTTTATAATGATACAGCTGTACATGTAAGCTGAGTCAAAAGGTCAAAAATGCTAAAATGTGCCACATGTGTATTTATAATGTTCATAAAGATAATGGCAACACAAGTAACACAATTCATTTAATTTCACAATATTATCAATAAAGGTAGAATTAACAGTTATTTTTAGTGGGTTTAGTGACTTTTTTGTGTATTTGTTTCAGATTTTTCCTTGAGTGGTACTGGAGTTATTTCCAATGTTCTTGAAATTGAGTTGCATCACCTGAACTCTCCAAAAGATAAAGAGGTCAATGAAATACAGGTTCAACATGGGGAAGCTGTTTGTGGTCTGTGCATGAAGAAATGCTACAGGGGTATTCCAGTGGGTCTCAATTTATTTACAGTAATCATTTTTTCCTCTTCACAAGATGACAGAATTGAAGCTTATATACTGAATGCTCGCATCCATCAATACCCCATCTGTTTGGGGTAAATGTCACAAAACAGAAACCTCACATGTACTTCCTTGGGTTATATTTTTACCATCTTTACAATATTATTTTTCTTGTTCTTTGTGCTCTGCCCTGCTAAGGAAATTCATGTCCCTTTCACAGTGTTCTGCCGGAACATAATGTACTGAAATTGTGTGAAGCTATAGAACATTTGCACTCATACAGGTTTCCCCACAGAGATATAAAGAGTGACAACATTATTCTTACAGACGTAAACAATATGTACTACCCAATGCTCATTGATTTTGGAAAGGCTATCTTGCTATCGGATGCCCCTTCAAAACAGCAGTCCATGACTGCTCACTAGCACTGACATATAGCTTAAGAAATATGCCTCAGATATTATGTTTTAAAAAGACAAATCATATTGAACTCAAAATCAGGGTTGTAAAGAGCAGCAAAGAAATTATTCATTCATGTCTGTGCTGAGTTTCTATTCACAAATGATATGAAATACAAAGCAATTTCACCATTTGTTGTAGTATTGGCTGTTGGGCTTTCAAAATGTGGCCATTTTTAGGAGGCTTATCATCAAGATGTGGTCATCTCTAGGTATAGTCAGTGAAAACTAGAACAAATAGCGGTAAGAACAAAATTGTCAGTTTTGATGTGAATTTTCTTGAATAAATGGCCATGAGGAAATTGTGTACAAGTGAATAATCTCAACCCTGACTTTGAAATGCACAGAGCCGTTTTTTTTTTTACCAAATTTAAGGTACTGTGGGTGGCCTTGTTATTGTTAGCTTTTTAATAATAATATTATGATGTAGAAAAAATACAGTAAATGATCTGACTACTGGACCTTTGTCCAGTAGATTTGTTGTAGTGTATTTACTTAATGTAAAGGGGAGGTAGTGTGGGCCCTCTGTAACTGTATACAACAGTTACTGTGTCATTTTGAATTTTTAGTTTTAGTTATTGGAGATCCCTGCCCATTGTGCGACCCTAGGCTTTACTATTATCAAATGACAGAAGGGGAATGTAACACATGCCCAGGTTATGTACCATTGACTCACTTCGAAGTGGTTATGTGATTTAGAATTGGACCCAAAAAAAGACCGGGGCCCAGTTGTTCCAAAGACCGATTAGCACTAACCCAGTGCTAGATTTTAACCTGCGTTTCTTTTTCCTTTTAATCAAAAGCATTTTGTCAGATAATTTTCCCTTTTTTTAAGTATCAAATCACCAAATTGTAGACAAAAGGAATTCAAATGAATTTGTTTTTAAAACTGTCATATCTGAATTCATATTTCATACTAACCTTGGGTTATCTTAACCAGCTTTAAACAACCCAGCCTGGAAGGATAATAAATGCTGCATGTTAATTTGTTTCACCGCCTTAGTTTTTTTTTTTTTATAGCTTACAACTTTTCATGATCCAAGGCCAACTCAGAGCTCCTGTAACCCAGTAGGGGTCTGTTCATTTTTTAAGGGGGGACCCTCTCTTCATCCTTGTATCCCAAGATCAAATAACCAGGATTCAGGTGAATTTTAGCCAGCAAAAAATGCTATGACTTTTTTTTTGGATTGAATAGGTAGTACTTAATGAACAGTGAGACTCAAACTCAGGGTTGCAAACAACAAAGTTAGAAAAATTAGCCTTTCATAAATTTGTCAGCTGAGTTAATGTTCAAATAAAATTGTGAGCAGTTTCACCATATTTTGTTGTAGTATTGGCGGTTGGGTTTTCAAAATGTGGTCATTTTTAGGAAGCCGGCCATCGAGATGTGGTCATCTCTAGGTGGGCAGTCAAAACTACAACAAATACCGGTTAAACTAAAATTGTTGGTTTTAAATTGAATTAAGTTTGTTGGTTAAATGCATGGCCATGAGGAAATTATGTACAAGTGAATATAAGCACAACACTGAGTTTGAAATCCACAAAACTTTTTATTTCGGACCAAATTTGATTTTTTAGTATGATGTACAAAAAATACAGTAAATGATCTGACTACTGGACCCAACCTTGTGTTATCTTAACCCATCTTTGAGCAAACCCAGTCCAGAAGGATAAATGCTGCATGTTAATTTGTTTCACTACCTTAGTTTTTTCTTTATAGCTCTAGACTTTTCATGATCCAATGCCAAATCAGAGCTCCTGTAATCCAATAAAGATCTGTGCATTGTTTATTGTGCAGGGGTGGGGGGGCTGTCAGGTAGGATTTGACCATTCGACCGGTAGCTCCTGTAGATCCTCCTTGTATCCCAAGCAAATAACCAGGCTTCAGGTGAATTCTAGCCAGCAAAACTGCTATGACTTTTTGGATTGAATAGGTAGTGCTTAATGAACAGTAAAACTCAAAATCAACATTCAAATCAGTGGAACTCAAACTCAGGGTTGCAAACAACAAAGTTAGAAAAATTAGCCTTTCATAAATTTGTCAGCTGAGTTAATGTTCAAATAAAATTGTGAGCAGTTTCACCATATTTTGTTGTAGTATTGGCTGTTGAGTTTTCAAAATGTGGTCATTTTTAGGAAGCCCACCATCGAGATGTAGTCATCTCTAGGTGGTCAGTCAAAACTACAACAAATAAGTCCCGTATGATATATGCCCCTAATATTCTAGAATCAGTATAAATATTGTCGGAAATATAGAAAGAACCCTGCAGTATATGTATTAGCTATTCAGGGTCTTTATGATGACTACGTTGAAACAAAACACTGCCATGATCAAACCTTAAATGACAGAGGCAAGTGCCTTGGTTTGCCTCATACTGGCTATGGCCCTGACTGTAGGAAATACAGTGCATCAATGATCTGACTACTGGACCTTAATAACGAGTGGATTTGAATAAGTGTATTTGCTTTAAATTAGTAGCCCGGGAAAGGTTTATGCCAGGGGCGCTGTCAGAAAGGGACACCTTTTTCATGCTTCAGGTATGAAAGGATAGGGATTTCCTGAGTTAAAGTATATGACAGGGTAGACTATCTGTCATTTCGTTCTGTAAAAAGACTAACAGAAGAAATTTGTGAATGTAATATTGTCAAAAAAAATTAACTGGTTTCTGATTCCTTTATATTAAAATGACAGTGCACATAAAACAGTTAACAGGAAAGATGCATGTAAGGGGTTGGACCTCTGGGCGGAGTCTCACAGCGTGTACAAAATTTTATTGTAACAATGTAATGTTACAGTTGAGATTGGAAATTTACTTTAGTCACAAAACGGATCAAACATATAGGAAATGTCACATGCACATCACCTTTGACTGTCAGCAAATGTTATGCAGCTCACTATATTTGCTCCCCTTGCAAATATGGATAATTATGATGCAAATGTGCAAATTTATGATACAGCCAAATGTCTAGAAATTTATTGTTTTGCTCTTAAGGCAAATACGAGTAAACCACATGCAAAAGTGTTCTTTTGGTATCCTGGAAAAACAAGAGCAAATACCACTGCAAATTAGGGGTTTTGCAATATTTTTGCCTGCATTTGAAGTAAAGTGAAAACTGTCATTTTTGCCAAGGATGCAAATTTGAGTAAACTGGTAGAAATGTTGAAGATTTGCCCATGCTGCAAATATGTATCAAATTTGTATCAAACCATTACATTTACTTCACTTTTGCGTATCAATACGTATCTAGCAAATATATGTATTTGCCCACACTTTAGTCGACAGCGCAAATGTAATGCAAATTTGGAGCTCCAAATTTACCATATATTTGCACCTTTCGCAAACATTAGTAAATCCGTTTTTTCGTCCAGTGTAATAACATCTGAGAAAGGCTTCTTCATTAAAAGCAATGACGCCGAACATTCACCGTGTCCAGTTACGTCTGTGCTGCGCCTTTTTCGTTCTTTGGTTTCTCGTCCAAGGCAGTAAAGGTACATAAACTTGAAAATTCTCATCAATTTTCTTACTCATTATAATCGCTGTTTCTTGCTTAAAGTGATTTCTTAGCGTTTGAAAATAGCAAGAGCAGGTGAAGTTTTAGGGTGTGGCACGTTCGTAACGAAGAAATCAAATTGCGTCGAAAATCAGTTGTGGGCTCAGTTACTGGGTTAACATTGAAATAATTGTAAATAACTAGTTATAAAAAAAATCGTATTGCTTTGTGTTCTTATAATTGACATTGCAAATATTGTAATTTCTATTTCTTTAAAATAGCAGGCATCTTTAAAGCTGGTAAAGCCAATGTGACTACAGTTTCTCATGGGCTATTCGCTTGCCAACAGGTCTCGTTTGCGACACCTTTCCATGGCGGACACGAAGTTACCGTTCTTGCTTCACTGGGTCGTTCTATCAAAAGCCCTACTCGTGGTAACGGGGGCGCCATCTGGGTGGAGTCAGTAGATCAAAGTGGTTTCAAGGCTTGTATTCTAGAATACAGTGATGGGTCCAATAACACAGCAGAGGTGAACTGGATAGCAACACAATCTGCTCCATCTGGAGGTAAAAGGGGATCTATATCTTTTGGCGATTGGACAACAGGAACAAAGTGCAAAATAATTAATTTTCAGCAGGTAAGTGTTTTAATTTGTATTTTTTTTCTAATTAAAGGTATGTTAAAAGTGATCTCAATTAATCTCAAGAGTGCAATATTTCCATTTTATAAGGGGTCATGGCATCAATACATCAGCGGTATAGAAACCTTAAGACGGTTGTAAATATTTCATTGATTTATTGTTTTATTCTCAATTTTTCTTTCTTTCAACTTTCTTTTTTTATCTTACGAGTTTCTGCTTTCATGGCAAGCCTTACTTTTCTCTTGAGATGAAAGAAGTACAAATTGACAATAACTTATCAAATATGTAATCTAAAACCTTAAAAGTTTTATGAAGTGTATGTCGTTCACTTTTGGGTTGTTTTCAGCCTTTCCTGTCACCCCCCGTCATACTTGTAACCCCTAGTCACCAGACTCCAGAGAGACCTCAGGATGCAATGGCCGTGTGGATGGAGGACTCGCGCAAGGACAGTTTCAAGATTTGTCTCAAGGAATCTAAAATTTTCGATGGAGTTCACAAAAATATTGGAGTTGTAAGTAAAGTAGTAGTTACAACACGGCAGCCGTCTTAAATTAAAAGGGTTAAAATAATGCATACCTCCTGAAAATGATAATTTTAATTTATTTATTTCTACGTTCTCCTAACTGCAATTAACCTTGTCATACGAAAAGAAAAGACAGGAATAAAGCCAAGAAGGAATTATTTAGCCATCTTTATGCAAATTAAGATTTGATATTTTGTTAAGATAATGAACAAAGAACTTTTGCAGTACAATATAATTGTATTTCAATTCAACATCAATTTTAAGGTCAAGTTGGCCACACTAAAGACATTTTAAGCTTTATCCTCTCGCCAGTCCAGATCTTTCAAAATTAATTAATGTTTTACTTGTCAGCACTATCGACCCTCTTATTTCTGGAGAGAGGTTGAGATGGAGGGGATAACGGGACATTTATATTCCACTTTATTGTTTGCCAGGTCACCTGAAAGGCAATACTCCTGATGTTTGTTTTGTTGGCGCGTTGCAAATTCATTTTCTTATCAGCTACCAACTGAGCTCAATATCCCCCATTAAGCGCCAGCATAGACTTTATACGTTTCCTGATAACGATAGGAAGGATATATTGGACAAAAGTTAGCGACTTTCCGTATAAGGGTATAAAACTTGTCTAATGAGAAATGTTCTATATTGGCTTCATATGACCTTAAATTGTCAGCAAAATAGACTCAAATGGAATATTATCTTCCTCCTCAACTTATAATGAGAAATAAAGATTTTATAGTTTGCGCTACCATGAGACCAGATAGATGACCTTTGAAAGTCAGTTAATTCCAAATAAAAGACATATTTCCTGTCTCATATCTTCACCTACATAGCCTTTGGTGTTTTTTAGACGATACAAAAAAAAAAATGATATATTAAATTGTTATTTTCCTAGACTTCACTCAACTAAACAGGGACTACTATAGGTGGATTCTTGGTTTCGTTGCTTGGCTAAATCAAATGTGTCCCGATCATGAAACCAACATTGTTTTCCCAATTCAGACCACGTACATGATGTTCTCAAGGGCATCTCCTTTTGTCTATTCATAAATTTACATACACATGCACGCCATCAAATCATGATGGAAAGTGGTGTGAGACACAGCAGAAGGTGGAAAAAACACTGCCAGTTTTTACTTTAAAGGGCCTGTTTAGATGGAAGTAGGGGGCCCCAGGTAGGTGCGGTAACCCGCTTAATTGGATAAAATAATTATCCGCGTTTTCATGCAATCTTGCAACCTCATGACCCCGGGCTGCACATTCTCAAGATTATTTAATGGTCGCTAAGAAAGTAGATCAAATTACAATAAAGTTGTCATAGAAAAATGAAAACAGGATAATTGAACAAAGCTACATAGGAATAAATTTGGCACGCTCGTAACTCACTACTATCAGGGATCTATTCTCATTGCATAATAAATTAGCTCAAAACGAAATTTGGTGTAATCCGTTTGCATTCTCCTGCGTTGGTACACGCTTGTAGTGACCATGATGCTTTGCGCTCCGCTGGTATAAATTCTGCGGTTTATTCAAATCGTGGCAATTTCAAGGGTCATTTCTCAGGGAACTCTTTCGCCTTTCGCGACGCTCGTTATTCAACCGCTACCAGTTTTCCATGGCTGACCAAGTTATTCCTCCCCCGCTCGCTCTCGTGCCAGTTTCAGCTGCTTTACCAACAGCTTCGGAAAACGCAGTATCCCGCCAAATCCACCAGAAGCGAATGTGGAACCAGAGCAAGCTCCACCTCCTGACGCTCTAGGAAAGGAAATTCTATATTTGTCTTCCCTTTTCCGGTTTTCATTATGGCGCTTTCTATGTTCCGTAAGGTTCTCCAGACCTGTGTTTCGGTTTTGCATTGTTTATTTTGTTTTGGGGTCAGCTTATTTTTAATTCTCTGCATTTTTTTGCGTTTCGTTTCTATAATTTTTAGTAGTGTCGTTGGCATGCCCTTCGCTTTGCACGTTCGAATTTATTTTTTCCACGGTGCTTAGTTTCTTTTACTTCTAGGCTTATCGCTTCTTCATGCCTTTTTGCTCAGTTGTTTTATCTTTTGCACTAATTGCTTTTTGTTTCCCCCCCATTATGCTTTTATTATCGTACTTTTCTATCACGTAATTGTTAGTTTCGTGGTGGGCTGTTTAGGCAGGGTTTCTTGTTTATTGAGGCGGCGCCTTTTTTCTGTCTTTGGGCTCTGTAGTTTAGTATTCTCTTTATTTGAAGCGTTTATTTTTGACTTTATCTATTATCAGTGAAGGCGATTTATTGTTGCGTGGACGAAGTTTAGGGATGCCACTGGTGAAAGAGTTTTATTCAGTAAAGGTGGGTCGGGTCCGGATTGGTTTTCTACGTTTTCGATGTTTATCTGGTAACGCCGTTTGTTGCCCGTTACGATTATAATCAATTACTTTTATTTTAAGAGGGTCACACCCCGGGGGGTACTGCCATATATGGGCTATATAGGTATGTGCCGCTGTGAAGGGTATGATTTTCAAGCAGTTTACTCTAGGATAGGGTATATAAATCAGAGCGTTTGGGTCTAGAATAGGGTATCATTTTTCAGGAAACTGATCAGTTGGTTGAAGATTTTATCTAGACTAGGTAAACAACTACTCTAGGATAGGGGGATTTGGGGAGTTTACTCTAGTATAGGGTAGCAAAATTCAGCTGAACTAGCTCTGGTATAGGTTAAGGGTTCCAGGGTCCCAGCGGCACATCCCCACCCAGAAATTCCTAAAGTGCCCCCCCCCCCCGGGGGTGGCACCAGTTACTATAAAAATTTTTCTCCCTAGTGGCCCTCTAAAAACAAAATTGATAATAATAAATTACAACAGTCATGATAAAAAGCCTATTTACAAATAGTAATTATAATAAAAGATCTTAAAGATTGTAAAATATGCCAATGAATTGCGACAAATTACGTTCATTTGTTTGTGTGATTCCGCTTTCATTCTCGGAAATACGGACCCATTTCGAGTGTACCACTCGTGAGGGCAGTTTGTTTCCGCGTATAGCAGTTCTGGGATGCCACCATTGAGGAAAGTGAAGTAATTTGCGTTTTTTTCCTTGTTTGCATAACTAGACATCTTTTCCACATGGGCGAATATTTCCAATCTTATTTCGAAGTTGAATGTTCCGCTTCGCTGGTGAAGGCAACTTACAGTTTCGTAGATAGATTATGGCATGCCACCAGCGTGTGTAGTTTGATCTTCAAAGGAAAGGATCCGTTTCCAGTATTTTTGTTTAATTGTTAGTTGCCGTGTCACTTGTCAATACCACTTGCTACCGCTTGTGATAATTGTGCAATCCTTCTAAAGGAGTGATATAATTGACAATTAGGCCCCATGGGCTATTGACTCAGAGCCCATTCGTGCTCAATGAATGATTGTTTTAGTAAAATCCAACTAGTTGGTCAAAAATATCGAGAACAAAAAAAATTTAGCTGCTTAAAGCTAGACTTTAATCCTTTTTTGCCGCCAAAAAGCCGGCGCTTTTCGCTACTAGTGGGCTATAACATATAGCCTAGTAGTAGCTCTACCAATCAGAACGCAGCATTGATAATAGACCACCATTTGGATTTTACTGATAAGTTTATCTTTTATTTTCGTTCGCGTAGCTCAGGGATTGATTTCGTCGCACGAGGCAGATCCGTCTCGTGTTTTTTTTGTTTTTTTATTTTTAGTCAGTACCGCTGGTGAAGGCAACTTGCCATTGCGGAAATTATTGCGGAATGCTGTCAGTGGATCGGATATAATTCATGGAACACGCTTTTTCGTAGTTCGCGTGGTCCGGCGTTAAGTTTCCCTTTTGAAACGTTTGCAAGTGTAGTTTTGTCCCTTTGTTTACCTAACTCGGGCGACCCGGTTTCAGGTTTTCAGTTAGCGTCCTAACTAAGGCATAACTGCTGCGTGGGATCTGTTTTACATCGCCTGGTCACTGGGGTGGTTTACAGGGTGATGTTACACAGGTTTACTCGTGCGCTGCTCTATGACCCAAATTTCGGACTCTCTTCGGAGCTCGGGGTCAACGAAGGGACACGTGCCTTGTTCGTCTCGTTTTTAAGTTATTATTTTAGCGTTCCATCTCTTCTTCCGTTTTGGGATCCCAGTTCGTTTTTCTCCGGGGTTGTACGTGGCTTCGCGCTCATCTTCCATATATATTCTTTTTTGTGATATAAACCAGGGAACATGCCCCTTCGTTGGCCCTCGTCCTTCTCCTGGTACCGTTGCGGCTCGCCCCATCCTAGTATCTTTGCGTCAACTTCGTTTCCGCAATCTTTAATATTTCAAAGCTGGGGAAATTCACAACCACTCCTTTGTGTGGATCTAATAGGCATTATCCGGAACGGTGTCCATGTTAAACAGTTCTTCAAAAATTTCAAGGAGAATTTTCGGAGCTCACTGTATAACTCGCCGCGTGCTCCGATTTGTGAGCAGATTCAAACCTTTATCTCCGACACCATAGACGACTGGGTCTCCACTAGTGTGCTTGCCGTCTGGGCAGAGTTGGAGAAGTACGTTCCCCCCATTTTTAACATCCTTCCCCTTACTGTGCAACCTTCAAAACTCCGCTTCTGTCATGAAGAGCACTTACATCTATCACAATTTAGGTCTCGCCGTCACAAGTGCAGCTCGCTCACGAGGGGGTTCCTGTGTCCCAATATATAGATGACCGTCATATTGGTCAGTTGTTCGGTTCCCCTGCCGAATCCAGTCTACCTCCTAGCAGATTGCTGGCTGAAGCGGCTGCGTATATCATGTGCTAACTACTTATAGAGGCCGGTTATTTTATTGGCATCGGCAAATCGCAGGTTTGAATGATGTTCCTGACTGACAATCAGGTCCTTATATCTGCATTAGGTTACGCCGGTTTTAAAAACTCGGCAATCAATGACGTCATTAAAGAGATTTTGTGCCACAGTCGTGACTGCAACTTCAGCATCCACACCTTCTATGTGCCGCCGGAACGAAACCCTGCTGACGAACCCTCACGGAGATATTCAGATCTGGACTTGACGCTTATCCCTGAGTCTTGGTCGCTTTTGGAACATTTCTTAGGCCCCCATTCGTTTGATTTAATTGTCCTGGATAGTAACTGCCAAAGAGACTTTCGTGGGAATCCCCTGCCTCATTATACGCGACTTGGCCTTCCCCTGGGTCTGACAGAGTAACGCTTTTGCTAATCCTCTGCCTGCTGGACATGATATAAAAATATTTATGCGTTTTCACCGTTTGTACTCCTTTGTCCACTTCTGAACTACATTTTCGATCAAGATTTTCATGGTGCCTTCACATTTGTCGTGCCGGATCTGCGATCGAGGCAGTTTTGGTAGTCGACTCTTCAGGCTCTCGTTGTTGACCGTTTGCTACTTGGCAAGAAGGGATCTACCTCCGTGTTGCTTTTTCTCACCCGAAACTCACGTCAACGGCTTCCGCGCAACCTACAGTGGGATCTCTGGGCTTTCCGAAGCATTTCTTAGAGAGCGTCTTTTATTTTATCTAGGTTTTAAGGCCTTGGAAGGCTGCACAGCGATGCCCAGCACGTTTATACCCAAACGACTTTGACGCTAACTTTTGTCAAGCTTGTGGTTCGCGAGTGTCCCTTAAAGAGTTTGGTGTGCCATGAAAGGTTGTGAACCATACAAGGCTATCCAGACATTTCCAAGATTTTTTTGATACCCTCAGAGCCAAGCCCTATCAGCGGCAGAAGTCTGCTCTTGAACAGCAGTTTTCTGATTTCCTGGTTTCTTTGTCTCCTCCAAAGTACATTTCTTCTTGCACTTCAGACGATGTTATTAAGTTTTTGATAAGTAAGGACAGCTCGGGAGGACTGTGGTTCATAGTCAGCTATGCCCTAAGGTTAGTTGCGATTGTCCAAAGCGTTTGGCTGCGGGGACGGTAGATTCTTAGTTGGGGAAACTTAATGCTATTTTCAATAATATTGACCGTTTGCGTTTAGCGTTAAAAAGTACCTTAAATTTGTTCTCGAGGAACAGGCAAACAAGGCTATTGTCTCCTCCAAGGCAGTGCCTATGCTTTTCTACGCTCATTAATTTTCTTAGGTACTCCATAAGATGCAGCACCCATCTTTCCTTAGTCAATGATTATATTTTGGTGAGGGACACTGTTTTTTTCGTTGTCCATTTTTTCACTAGGAACCGTTCTTCAGATCTGAGTCGTCTTTTAGGGTATCAGGTGTTCATCAGTCTTAAGAATCGAAAGGGTTTTCTGCTGCTCTTAACCCTAACTTAAAGCTTTGAGGTGTAATGCGCCTTCTTCATTTATTTTAGAACCTTTCCAGGAACAGGAGCTTTGTCCAGTTTTGCAGATTCAATACTATCTTTACGTGTGTCAGTTATTAAACGTTCATTTGGATGACGGGTACTTCTTTAGGGCTACCGGTCGGGGCAGAGCAGTGAGCTAATAAGGCCTTTTTTGGGTACTGTGGTTAACAATAGCTAAGAAAATATCTATCAGAAACCAAGATTAATTTGTTTTCGGAGAGACTCCCAATAGCCTTAGGGTTGGCCTTTCGAACATCCTCAACATGTTAGGTTGCTTACAAGAGGAGATCTCTTTTTACCACGGGTGAAGAAGCAACATTGAACATTACATCATAATGAGTAACACAGCTTGTTCTTTTCCTGTTACTGGTACTTCTCTTCTGTTGACTATTGCCTTTCCCAGATCCCTGCTTCATTATTGTTTAGCTTATCTTGACTAAATTGTGTGGTCTTTGTTGGGGGAGAGTTTCTGAGTATTTTAGAGAGAAATAAGGAGTTCTTTTGATGGCTTTATTGGTGTGTGGCTCTTTGTTTTTTGGGTGCTTTTTAGCTTTGCTGTTTCTTATAGTGCGTGTCGTGGCGGCGAGTGCAGGAGCGTACTTTACCCATAACTTAATATTTCGCGATGAGGTAATTATGCAGTGAGAATATATTACTAGTAATCTTTCCTAACTGGCACACCCACCTCAATATGATCAGTCCCTTAGTGCCAAATTTCCCAAGAGAAACAGTTTGTGACATTATTAAGTGTATAATAACCGAGTCCCACACGTACGTCTGCAAAACCCCTATCCATCCGAGAAATCTCGGTAGTCACGTCACCGCACGACCGCCCTCCCGTTCGTCCTCTCCACAGGGAAACCAAGGAGAAATGTCACAGTTTCTATTTAGTATGGGAGAATGCGACTTGATATTGCACATCCATGTTGTGGTCAACTGACAGCTGTCAAAACAGGGTATCTGCTGACAAGTAGGGTATGACCGTATGGCGGGTTCAGTTTACGTGCTTTTTTGAAGTTCCCCTCTGACCCGTTCCTGGTCTTCAAAGGATCACAGTCTCAACTCTAAGTGGACTTCTTTTCAATGGTTACAAGTTGTTTGTTTGAAGTAGTTTACAAACTTGTTTACGGGAGCTTCGTCTTTGGTTTTGGCTAAACCTATATATTATTGAACATCTGCTTGTAATTATACTAATGTGCTTAGTATACGTCTCTCGCTGAACTAAGTACCTAGCTTGAGTATTTTCCTGTTCTTGCAGAACTGGATGGCTTACACCGAGGCGAATTTTGACAACTTCACTTTGACAGAGAGCCTTGTATTTACAAACAACACTCAACAAGACAATTATGTCTTTTGTCGGGTAAGCGGATCTTTAGCCACACAAAAATTCCTACCCAAGAAAGATCAGTAAAAAAAAAAATAGTTAGGAGTCTCTAAGTTCAGGTTCACAGCAAACCCATTTTTTACATTTTTATTGACGAAATTGAGGCCCTCAAAGTGAGGCAAGTATACCTCTAGTACTCGGTTGGCGATATATGCAGCTATACACCTAGTAAGATGAAAAGATAAGGCAAAAATGAACAAAGTTTAATTTTTTAAGCTGAATTTTTTGGAAAGCCAAAATTAGGCATTTGCGTTATTCCGCTGTATCCTCTTTAGTATGGGATGATTATGGATACGGTCTTATTTACATAATGATTTAAACAGCTAGTTCACCCATAAAAAAGTGACTCTTACAGACCATGTCTGTCTTATTTCAGAAAGTAAACTTCACAAGTCCATTCTTTGCACCTCCAGTGGTGGTTTTAACACCAAAACTCAGTTACAGAAATGTTACCTCACAGGAATCTGAATGCGATGCAATGACAGCCTGGGTCGAGGTAAACATTACTGTTATAAATTAAATCCGTTGTCGATATCAAAGCGTCCCCTAAATCCCCTGAAGGGTACTTTTGCATTGGAGCGCAATGTTCCTTTAAAATTCAGTTTTGAGCTAGTAGATGACATGAAGAGAAGAATTGAGATATAGAAACCGAAGACCCGGAGACAATTCACGCTAGTGTAAGCAGTTTTTTTTCCAAGAGGTTTTCATATTTTAGTGAATTTCTTAGTATCAGGATATTTGGCCTTTTCCTTTTTGAACGAATCATTCTGTTAATCATTCTGTTAGTGCTCGTAATGTAGTCGTGAAAAGAGGCGAGCCCAATTTCGACGCCTAAATGATGAATAAACTTGAATTGTTAGAAAATACTGAGACACTGAGTATCAAATGAATCTTCCAGAACAGCGAAACGACGACAACAATTACCTTGTTTTTTATTCCTTTAAACATTGCTCTAAGACCGTTCTCGTAATTTATTACTAAGTGAATAATCGTTTTGTTTCTTCGCCATGATAGTGTTTTCTTCCTTAGCCTACCACTCTAGTAAACAACCACTTTGCTTATTCTAAGCGACTACCACTCTCCTTAGCGACCACTTTGCGTAAGCGACCACCTTTCAGTGATAACCATTTTGTTTCTCAGTCAATTCTGTTTTCACTAATGGACTTTCTTGTAAGTGACCATTCCACTCAGTTGCGGTGACTTCCACTGTTTTTGATAGGGTATCTCAGTCGAACCGACTGCTTTGAATTCACTACGTTACTGTCAGTATAAAATGAGATCAATAGGCCTTATCACGGTTTTTGACGCCATCTTGACGAGTAGGCAACCATGTGCGAAGTTACAGTGTTTGTATGAGAATCTAAAAAATGTCGCAAAATTTTCATAAAATTGTTGTTCTGACTACGAACTAAATGTTCTGATGATTATGACGTTCGAGTATCGGCTAATTGGGGTGGTTTAGCTAATTTACCTCGTCTTTAAGGCAACTAAACGTAACTAAAAATATTCGCCATTGACACTATTGCTTTATTTTTTGATAAATTTCACCCTTAGTATACCTCCAGAAATGACATGGAAATTTGTATGAAAAACTACAAAAGTGACGAAAACATAAAGAGTATCCTCCTTACAGTCAATTATTTGGTGATTGGAGGTAGGTAAAGTTCATTTCCCACTCTCTGTCCACTAAGGTGTATTTCTATAGGTACCGGCAGCACGAGGATGAGCCAGCATCTACTCCAGAGGTAGCACAAACTGCTACTTGTAAGTCTCCCCAGGTAAAGGCTTATCTACCAATGAACAGAAAATACATCCGATAATAAGCCCCTTCAATTGTGTCGAAATGAATTCGATTTATTATGAAATGTTGCACCTTACACCTATCCCGTAATCATAATGACCATTGGGGCGCCACAGACTAAGCAACCGTTTCCCTCCAATTGACTTTGTTTTCAGGCTCTTTTAGGGTGTTGCAAAACCTCAACCCTGTCAATAAAAGATGTTATTTTCCCAGCCGTTCTTTTGCCTCTCTCTGCTTTTCCCTCTTTGCACTGTTCCTCGTAAGATTATCTTGGCAAGCCCTGCTGATCTTGATACATGATCACACGATGAGATATTTCATGGGTGAAAATTTCTATTTAGACATTCTTCAAATTCAAGAAAACTGAGCCGGTAGAAATTTGATAACGGACTCGAGTGTGTATTCGCTGCTCATTGCGCAAGCAAAAATGCGGAATGAAATCAACAACAACTAACGGATGGCGGAATTTCGGCCAATCGCAACAGCGCAAATCATCCGTATTGTTTCCTATCCAGTCAGAATGAAGTTCAGATTCTGGCTTTTTTTGCATGTGATCTGTGAAAGGATTATATCATGCCCTCCTCCCGAAAACAGTTTACAGAGATAAAGGGAGAGGGCATGATCGCAGGTTACAACTGAAAAGTCTCTGAGACCACAACTTTTCAGGTGGACTATATTGCTCATGTGCTAAGTGATTTTGAGTTTGATCTCAGACTGTTCATCTCATTACGTCAATTCTTCTAAACTACGCGTCATTCACAAAGGTTCTCACATTGCAGGTGGCAATAAGAGGGTTTACCTCACAGAAACACGCTGCAGTAACATTTTGTAGTACCGGTTTCGGATTCTGCATGCGTGAGCGTACGAGAGAAAAAAAAGATACATTTTAACTTGCGTTAGTGCATGTTACACCACAGAGGGCCTTAAAATGTGAAAAAGATCGCAGTGGCACGCAGTTTTTGTTATCATTCACTTAAGACTGACTTTGACTATTTTGTTTTTATTATGATGCTAGACTTGGATCCTTGCATTGAAGTGACATGTTACCACTATGGTCATTGTAAGGCGGTGGGGCCCCGTGATGCTCGCTGCGTCTGCGTAAACAGCTGTCCCTCCTATCAAGAGCCAGTTTGTTCTTCAAATGGCACCACTTATGATAACAAATGCCTATTTGAACAAGAAATGTGTTCTCTCGGGCTGAACTTTACGATACAGCATCCCGGTGCCTGTGAAGGTAAGATCAACTTAAGTTACATTTGTGGAGTCGCGCTCGTATTCATTTTAATATATTAGGTTTAGCTTTTAAGACAGTCCACGGACTAGCGCCACCATATATTAACTCTCTAGAGTTACTTCTTGACGTAAAGCCATCTATTGATTTTTTTTTATAATTTAGCTGCAACTACCAATCCTTTTAAGTTAAGCGTATTTAACCTTCTCAATATATATGTCGATATAGTTAAAAAAGATTTAAAGTCAACAATCAGGGCATAATGCATTTTTTAGGGTGGCGCCTTATTTGAATTTTTATTTCTTATTTTTTTCTACAATAAATAAGCGTGTTATATATGGGAGCCATGTGGCTAACAAGAGAAGGAGATTTTCTCCGTCTGTTTTTTTCCCGGCTTTCAAGACATCCCTAATTTACTTGTTTTATTTTTTTCTTTAGGATTTCCTTTACAGCGTGACCGTCTCAGCCTGCCACACATTCTCTCCCTGGGGTACTCATTTTGTCAAGATATTCGATTGGAGCCCTTTGCATTCTATCCTGACAAACCCATTGAAGCTCAAATAACTGTCAATCATCTGGATACCAGTGATAAGTCTTATGTCCATGATGCCTCTGTATCGTGGATTGAGGATGTCAATTCCGATAAATTTACCGCGTGTGTAATGACAGCAGGATTTAACGAGCGAATGTCTTATTCTAACGTGACGGTAGACTGGCTGGCTTACCAAGGCGCTCCCGTGGGTGGGGTAGCGGGAGTGCAACGCATTTCACAGTGGTGGACTGGGACAACCTGCGAGACTGTCAATTTTCCTTCGGTTTGCTATGTTTAATTCTTTACTCTGTTGTTGGTTTCATGATTTGTATACTTGTGCGTATAGAAGAAGTCCAACCAGAATCGAAGCGCACAGATTAGTAAAGATTAAGTGGCGAATACTCGTTTTTTTTTATTACAGGGGAAGTTCTCCAAGAAGCCCTTTGTTTTTGTGACGGTGGCACATCATCACGCTGGACTTAAAAGGGACGCCGCCAGTGTCTGGTTGGAGAATATCGCGGCATCCTCTTGTAAAATATGTTTAAGGGAACTTCAAAATTACGCAGGTTCTCACGAAGATATATATGTAGTAAGTAAAGAACTTGATTTGGAGGAAATTTACCTTCAGCGAGCAATGTAAGCGGATAAATGAATCAATTGAAACCTGTATATAGCGGGCATACAGTAGTATAATAGGGATGAAGTTGAATCTTTTTTTGCTGAGGAAGACATTTACGCCAATGACTTTATAGCCTATTGTCTCGATCTCATGAATGAAATGAGGTGTACTTTTATTGAGATTGGGTAATGTGCTTTTTTCGGGTGGTAAAACCAGTTTTACAGGTTTTAGATCGATGGAAGTGTTGCGTTTTGACTTGTTCACTAAAAACTAATAATTATATTAATTAGCTGATTCATGTTTTCCAAGAAAAAAAGTACCAACTCACGGGTGAATCAACATCACCATGATTATCCATGTTAGTTCTTGTTTTTGTTTTTCATTCCTGCTTCCAATTTATGACTACGTTTGACCATGTTTAAACACGATTTTGTTGCCGAGGTCAACGGTCAACCATGGCTAATCCCTACTTCCTTCAGAGCAGATTGGCCATGGGTGACCATGGTCAGCATTACTGTAATTTAACGTTCATGGTTGACCAAGGTCAAACCATGGTTATATCACTGCCATAGTATATCACTACCATGGTTGGAAACCGTGTTCAACCATGGTAGAACCACGGCCGACCATGGTCTGACCATGATCCTCTCGCCGGGGAGCCTATCATACTGATTAAGCCACACAATTTAGCTCATGACAACGTCTTAATAACATTCTCCGCATTTTAAATGGCGGAGTTCATGTGTTCCTGCTCAAGTTAATAAGATTCCTGCGCAAAAAAAGGTTTATTTGATCCCGTTATAGCCTAAATGACGTTTATGCGCTTAATTATTGTCTCACTGTTTAACTCAAACGCCTTGGAGGTGGTTTTAAAAATATTACTTACAGCTTATTTTAAAAGCTGCACAAATGACAGAACACATAACGCTTTAAATAACTTAACTAACCATAATGCTTAAAAAAATCATGATCGTCTTTTCTTCTTTTTCCTTGTAGAACTGGTTGGCATTTTCGACTTCCCAAAAGCCATTCTTCTCGGAACAGAATTCGGTTTACTTTGCAAACTCCAACAATCCTCCTGCGGATTCTAATAATGCGTTCTGTAAGGTCAGTGTATTTTCCTATTTTTTCTAATGGAATAACTATAATTTATCTGGGTTTTTTGCATCTCTTATTGACACATTTTAATCAGCTCTTTTTTTTTGTTTTCAGGATATCCACTTCAGTAAGGTTTATCAAGACGCTCCAAACGTTTTTGTATCAGCAAATCATTCCTCGACTGGTAAAAATCTGGATCCAATGCACAATTCTATAACTGCTTGGGTTGAGGTAAGAAACCTATAGTATGTCTTTGTAACATACTTTTCGCAGAATTTCAATTCACAGAGCTATGTATCTGTGCGAATTTTCTAACACTGGGCATGAGGTGCCCGCTAGGTTTTCGCTTGAACACAGGCATCACCGGTGTTGAGGACAGAGTAGCGGAAAACATCCTGGACACTTGCTGTCTTGCTGCGTGTGTAGGTGTCACCAGATAGCCCACCCAGTCGAGACCTAGCAGTCGGTGGGTGGCTGGCAGAAAGCAGTCTAAAGTCAAGGAATTTTCCCTGAGAGCTAGCCCAGCCAAAATCTTTGCTCTGACTGATGATCATTACGGTAATTGAAAAGCTCGGGACAGTGTTTGACTAGTTATTAGCTTGATGTGTAGGGAGGCCTTAGTTCTTGGTTAGTGTTGGACTTGGCTGTCTAAGGACTGAGTGCAGGCGCCTTGTATCTAATCCAGTCTGATATGCAACTAACTGAATGCACCATTAAAATCTCCAAGGCGATTGCAGGAAGACCTCAAGTGGAGTCTCTTTTGTACCACTGTATTAGGCGTTGATAAGACGGAAGCCGTGAGCGATGTTTTCGAGCGACGAGGCCCGTGGAGAGAAATCCAAATATTTTGACTCGCCCCAATTCTTCTAGCGGCTTTACAGCCAAAAAAACCAAAGCAGGAAAATCACCAGCAGATTGAAGCAATTCGCCACTTTCTGCAACATTTTTGATAAAAAAGGTGTATTATGGGCTTTGTAAAATTTAAGAATCGGGCGCGATAAATCTCGCCAGAGGCCGTGGAGAGAGGGAAAAAGCGCAAGGGAAGACCTTAGGCTGGAACAGGAAATAGAACAAGAGATCGATTTTTCTTTTCTCCGGATGCCGTCCTCGGAGAGTAACCTCTTTTTTCAGAACCCTTCTATGGAGCGCAAACCTTTTATTTATTTGGCAAAAAGAAATAAGGCCGGGAGGGAAAATTCAAAATAGCCGGAATCGTCTCTATTCTTAATTCTGTCATTACAGTCTAAACATAAACAAACTGGCTATCATGTAAATCCTCTTAGAGAGCGAAGAGCGGGTAATAGAGAGATTAAGATTCACGTTTACGCCAAACAGCAAAAGTCAGATTCATGTTGAGATTGTCTCAGAATAGAAAAAAAGCAGATAAAAACTGTCCAGAACAATTCGTATGGAAAAAACTGACGTGAAGCTATTTATTTTTTAGTAGAAGTAATAAAAAGTAAACTAAACTTACGGGGAAAACCTGGTCACGTGGTACAAATTCACGTTTGCCGTTTAGCGTAAAAGTGAATCTTAATCTCTCTATTACTAATATTTGAAAACCAGTGAACTCAATTGTTCATTATAAACAGAACCAAGCTTCGAACTGGTTCTTCTACCTAATTTTTATCTTGCAAACTTGAGGCTGAACTGAACTGCTTACACAAGAGCAAGAGCAACATATAAGACGTGCACCAACTCAACCCACTAGAGTTCCTGTCTCTTAAATCTGTACCCACTCATAATTTAAACTGCTTCTAAAGATGGCCGAACCATTACTAATTTTTTTCCATTGGAGGGGTGTGCTGGCAAGTATTTGAAGCTATAACCACACGTCTATTTTTTATTCCACAGTATATCAACACGACGGGCGCAAGAGTTTGTTTAAAGGAATTACATGAGTCTAAATATGATCCCCTCTCGATACAATACATGGTCTTATCAGGTGAGAAGGTTTTATCTGGAAAAACATATGGTAATAAGAACACACTGAGCGCGTGGGGGTAACTAATAACAAATACGTTACATTGCACTTTATAATAGCCTAGGGCACGTCGCCAATAGACCAGATTATCATGTAAACCTAATGCTTACTTGCAGGTTTTATTCATAATTTAAGACCTCACAGCTACTTGAAGACTTCAGTGTTTTTTCTTGGTGAGGCGATACTGACTAAAGCGTGGACCGAAGGCCCTCGCGTCGCCAAAGTTTATATTTTTGTCGAAAATCGCATCACATATGGAAAGAGCGTGGATCGCACAGCGAAGCAGAAACACTACAGGGTGTCCCAGAAGTTCATGCCTCTTTCAGTCTAATTAAATATTTCATACTTGTTGTGCCATCTTTTGACTCGAACATTCGATTTGTGTACCTTACGTCAAGTGCACATGCACGAGTATTTTTTCCCGCCACATTTTGTTTTTGATTTTGTAGCCCAAATTTTTGGAACTCCTTCTGATCATTGTTTTCTGTGAATTAATAAACCCTCAGAGCGCAAAAATGTTCACTTAATTGAGAGCATAAAGTACATTGTACTATATACATCGATCTACTGGCTTATCAGCTACAGAAATTGCTAAAAATCTGGAAAAATCCGAATGTCGGGTGATAAAATGGTCATCGAAAAATGAAGGTTTTGAAAACAAGAAACAAAGGAGAAGACTGAAGTCCCGAATGAAACAGCTAAAATAGCTTTAAAGAGGGCTAACTACAAAAGAGGAAATTCGACGAGTTAGTTCTCACAATATAATGGTTAGCAACCTAAGTCTGGAGAAGATTCATGAAAACGAAGGTTGGAGGCCCGACCCTGAGATGGTAAAACAATTAAATGTTTGCTCAGTCTGCCAAGCAACGTTCAGCACAAGTCAAATTGTATGAAAAGAAGTAACCGGAACCGGAGAAAAACCTTACTTAGGAAAGAGGGCCGAAAAGATTGTACTTTTTTTTATGAATGCCTGAAACAATGTTCTTTTCAGCTGCATAATCCAAAAAATGATATTGTTTATGGGGGTCGCAGTGCAACCCCAAACACACACGCATACCAACCAGTTGAGCTCAAAATGGATCATCCGGGAATTGTAGAGAAGAGCGCCTTTATGTAAAAATAAAGGTTTGATCAAAGGTTATAGCGCACGAACTGAAGAACAACGAACATTTGGGACACCCTGTATTTGTTTTTGCAGATGTTTTGGTGACCAAGAAATCCAATAAATGCTTTTCGCGATGAATTTCGAAGGTGTAGGTGTTATACAGAGAACAATTTGTCCATTATTTTAAAAACGAAATACCAAGATAAGATAAGAGAACATTAACAATAATAATAATAATGATAATAATAATAATAAATATTTATATAGCGCCTATACTTTTCAGTGCTAAGCGCTTTACAATGCTTCAAAAAGGTCTGGATAAAAAATAAATATCCTAGAATCATTTACATATTATATACATAATCACAAAAATACAAAATAAAAAACCTAAGATTGTTCGTAAACTCGCTTTAAAAGAAAGGTCTTCAATTTAGCTTTAAATCTATTTACATCATCGATCGATCTAATGTCAATAGGCAAATCGTTCCAGAGTATAGGGGCAATGACTGAAAAAGCCCTTAAACCGTATGTCTTTAAGTTATAGGGTTTAATAACAAGACGCCACTTGTCTGAAGATGAGCGACGGTACCTTGCAGGTTCATAAACATGGATTAGGTCAACCAAATAATCAGGAGCTAAATTGTTGAGTATCTTAAAACAAATAAGATTAATCTTAAAGATTATTCTTTGCTCCACTGGTAGCCAGTGCAACTCCTTTAGAGTATCACTTATGTGATCAAACTTACGTAAGCAGGCAATCACACGCGCTGCAGCGTTTTGGACACTTTGCAGTTTGTTAATTTCATACTTGGGAAGACCATGTAAAGGCGAGTTGCAGAAATCCAGCTTCGAATTTATGAATGCGTGCATAAGAACTTCAGCCGTTGTGACATTGATATACTTACGAATCTTAGCTATATTTCCAAAGTGGTAGAATGCCACTTTAACTATGTTGTTAATATGAAAAGACATCGTTACGGTGTTATCCAAAATTACGCCGATTCTACTCGCCTTAATTGTAGGCTTGATGATATCTGTTCCTATTTTAATAGAAGGTAGCCGTGGGGGCAGTCTGAACCTCGAATAGAGAATGAGAAGTTTGTTTTGTCAGTATTTAGTTTCAGTTTGTTAGTAGTCATCCAGTTGGTGATATCGACAAGACAGCTTTCAATCCGGGAAATTGTAGTGGTAAGATCATCCTCATCATCGCAACTGAAGGTGGTGTACAGTTGAGTGTCATTAGCATAAAGATGGAAGTCCATATCATGCCATCGTATTAGGTCACCTAGTGGGGCCGTGTATAACAGATATAGCAACGGACCGAACACGGACCCCTGGGGTACACCAAATCTGAGCGGGCGAACTGAAGAAGTAAATCCATCAATCTGAACTGACTGGGAACTATCCGTAAGATAAGACTGAAGCCACGAAAGCGCTTTTCCTTTTATATCAAACCTGGATCGCAGTCTGTGTAACACTAGATCTTATGATCGTTGGTGTCGAAGGCTGCCGATAGGTCTAGCAGCAAGAGAATGACGCATTGATAGGTCTAGCTGCTGATAGGTCTAGCAGCAAGAGAACGACGCAAGAGAACATTCGGTCCTTGCATCTCACTTTGCAGACTAGCGTGCTTCTGCCGATTATGTTCACTTATTCTTTACACTTATTCAAAAGTCACAATAATGCGAAGTGGCCAATTATATTGCCGGAAATGCCAAGATCACTGAGTGTCTATGTACTAAAACCTGATATAAATCTTTTGCAGATATATGCAAGCTAGGGTGGAGTTACTTTGGTGGTTATTGCTACATCACAAGTCAGGCATGCGCTACATGGCTAACTGCTGTATCAAACTGTTCTACCATGGGCTCGAGTCTAGTGACGGTCCACAACCAAAAAGAGAATGTTTACATCCAGCACCGTCATAACGGCGATAAATCCTGGATTGGACTCAATGATAGGAGCGTGGAAGGATCATTCGTTTGGACCAACAAAGAATTAAGCAGTTTTAGGTTCTGGGCAAGAAACCAACCAAATAACTGGAAAAATGAAGACTGTGTGCACACTCTTGGTTCCTGGGGTGGATATACCTGGAACGATGTACCGTGCGATAAGTGCTACAACTTCACTTGCTTTACGGGTAATATTCAAGAAAATTCTAAGGAACCTGCTGGTATACATGCATATACACTCAATGATGTTGCCCTGCTGACTGATATCTTTCCTAAATTGTTGGAGTCTTGAGTTTATCCGATCAAAATTGGGAAGAAAACATCAATTTTGTTTTTTGAACGAGTGGGTTAGGAGTAGCGGTGACTATTTTCAAGTCGTTCGATTAAGAAGCAACAAAAAGCAAACTGAGGTGATAAACATAAGGAGATATAAACGCATTGCTGGAAAGAAATAAAACTGTAACTTGACGTTGCGTATGTTCCGACATACATCTTCAGAAGTAATTTATGACTACTTTCACCTTGTTGCAGCAAATCAGTTTCTGCGATATCTCAATATTTGTCTTGCGCATATCAAATTCACTGTTGAATTTGAGGAGAACAACACGATCTCTTTCCTAGACATACTCATTAAACATAGCAACCATTCTTTTTCAACGTCAATTTTTATCGCTAAATGGGACTCTTTTACACCTCGAAAATACAAGATAAACCTTATCCGTACGCTCACTTTTCGCTTTCACTATTTTTATCATTTACACCTCGAAAATACAATAGTGTTTTATCGGGTCGGGTCTAAAATCACTCACTTTCGGCTCGTAATTTTATACCCGATAAAACACTGCAGCTCTTTTATTAAACATTAAGCGTATTTTCCTACAACATGTCTCTATTGTTTCTTTACTTAGTTACTTATTCTACATTTCAATTTCTGGTGTAATATCATAGGTGACTAATTACTCCTAATTTTGGCGCGAAATTTCAGCGTTAATTTGTAACTTCACATGTGAAAATTACAAAATTGCCATTGCAACCTTCCGTACGTCTCAGTGTCTAGATGGCGACGAAGTTTGAAAATGTCATGAATGAAGATGTCAGGGCAAAAAAGACGCTTTAGAAAACCTGAACACACGAAAGAGCACATCAGGAAGGATTCTAACAGGTATTTTGTCGAAAAACTCTGAACTTAAGCCAAATTTAAGCTCTAAACGTTCGAGATACCATCCAGGATAAACATGTCAAAAATCCAAGATTGCTAACGTAACTTGTCACCCATGATATTAATAGGTAATCAAATGGTATACTTGTGAAATTAGGGAATAATTTCACTTGCGTTTTGTCCAAATCCTTATAATTTCCCGAGCCTTTAGGCTCAACGGTTAATTGCTTCTGAAGATATATGTAGGAACATTCGAAACGTTAAGTTAAATCTTTATTTCTTTTCTGAAATGCGTTTATAATTCCTTATGTTTATTACCACAGTTTGCTTTTTGTTTGTTCGATTGATAATCTGGAGAACACTCCATGTTTAAAGAGTGCAATAAATTGACCGTTTCCCCTTTAAAATAGATAGGTTTTTGTGATGCACATCACTCATCTTTTCTATTCAATCGAAGAACGAAATTTGTAGACGGAAGTTGATTTTACAATTGTTATGATAGTAATGAATTACATTCTATTAATCAACCATTTGAGAATTAGAAAGTGTTTTAATATGTTTAGACGAGGACGAATGTACTTCTGATTCTGATGACTGCGACGTCAATGCCGTTTGCAAAAATACTGTGGGCTCATACACATGCACGTGCAAAGCTGGATATACCGGTGGTTTCTTGGTGTTGCGGACACCAATGACGTAATACAAAAGATTGAAAAGACACTGAACAATACCCACACCACAACACAAAAGCTAACAAACAATAGTTTCCGCAACACCAAGAAACACCCGATATACCGGAAACGGACGAACCTGTGATGGTAAGAAGAGCTAGACATCTATTGAACACTAGCACTGAACGTCATAAAGAAACACACTGTATACCCTCCCTCATGACAATACACCATTGTTATAAGGCAAAGAGATGGTCTCACAATTCGCAAGGCTTCGAAGCGATTAGCAAAATGCGTAATTATATATACCGATCACATCAAAAAGTGTCAAAAAGCAGATAAAATACAGTGAATATGACGGATATCAAATTCAGATCTTTTCATTGTTTTTTTGTAGAGGGTATTGAAGGGAAAAAATAGTGAAGACACTGCCATTCTTGCATTTCTGAGCCTTTCCGTATCTACTTTTGTTAAACATTTTCAGTCTGTTGTGTTTCAATTCTCTTTAGATCTGAACGAGTGCTCAAGAAACTCTGATAACTGTCACGTCAATGCAATATGTCACAATACCGTAGGGTCCTACAAATGTACCTGCAAACCTGGATATAAAGGAGATGGACGAACCTGTAGTCCTAAAGGTAAGAGTCATGTCTTACAAAATCCTAGATGTTAAATATGAACTATCACTCTGTCTGAGTGCCGGGTGATTTGAGGTGAGCAGTTAACCCTATTCAGACCGGGGTTATTTTTGCTTCCTGCGACCGGGGGGTGGCTTCAGAGGCCCCCTCTTTAAAACTTCGAAATCGCTCATGAAAAAAAAAATTCTAATTTTCTTCCAAAACTGGCAAAATGACGTTATTTGCTGTCACTGTTGCATCATGTTGCTCAATTTATATGCAACAAAACTAGTATTCATTAGGGGTTAGAGAAGTTAAGTGAAAATAGAATAAACGGTTACAGTATTAATTTAAAATGGTATAAAAATAAAAATAAGTGTTATCGATCTTGGCGGACGGTCAGTTGCGATGTTATTAACTACCCGAAAAACAATCAGCTCAATTGGCACCGAATTTTAAACAGTTTTGCCCGACCATAGTTCTTTTGTCAGATTATAGAAGTGGACTATTTTTCTAGGTTTGCAAGACTCCGTTATTGTGGGAAACAACCGAAACCACTCAACCTCGAGCTCGTTAAACAACTGGCTTTTACCGGTGAGAAGAAGCGTTTATTCTCGCTGGAGGCGCTGCTGGCGTGCATCAGTTGACGGCTGAGCTGCAAGTACGTTTCACTCGCGATGTGACGGCAAGGGACCGACTGTAACAATAATAAGGGTCGGAAGATATATTTTTGGAGGATACGCTAGTGTTTCGTGGGGTAAGTAAACAATGTAAACAATTGGCGATTTTAATAACAGCCCTGGCGTCGAAAGTATTCCACTTGACATGAATCTTAAAGTTCAGCCGGATAGTGAACAACAGAGTCAATCAATCTGCCTTTTAAGGACGGTGCTCAATAATAGGAAGTTTTTTTTTTTTCAGAAAATGACTATGTAGATCATACCAAGGGCTATTGAAATTCAATGAAAAATGAAACTAGGGGTAACCACCCATTTTTCAGAGTTAAATGCACTTCAGTATGGAAAAAAATAAAAATAAAAATAAAAAAGTTATTTTTCTTCCGAAATTTCAGAGTGTACACGTTAACTGATGCAAATGCAATGCTAATTGTATCGAGGCTTCAAAATAAAGAACAAATGGTAAAATAACAACTGCTCTTATAAGTCTTTTTCAACTCATCACTGTGAACTGGGTTAGTTAGAAGAGAAGACCCTGGGTTAGTTAGAAGCAGTGACCCCTCTCCACGAGTTTGCCTCAAAAATGCTTCAATTAAACGACATTTATCCCAAAAACAACAAAAAAAATGGATCGTCTGCTGTGTAGGCTAATTACTTCGATCTGGCAAGATGTCATTCGCTTTTGGAGTTAATTCTTTCCCATCCCCTCCCCGGTCAGTTGCATTATTTCTTAGTTATGTGAGAGAACAAACCAGCACAATTAAAACGTATAAAATGACCATAAATCGCCTCGGGAACCACACAGAAAAGAACAAACAGATATACTACCGGGTGTTCCAAAAGTTCGTTTATCTTATTTCATGCGCTATAACTTTTGATCGAAACTTTATCTTTACATGGAATTTCTAAATGACATCGATCGATTGCTCTATCAAGTACATGTAGTCAGAAGTTCCTTAATCCAGCATTCCCCTCCCTTTTTTGATTCATCGCATTCAGCAGCCGTTGCAGCATAAAGAGAGTTAATTTATGTAGTAAATCTGGTATATCAAGATTCTGAATGTCGCAAATGACACCTGCTTTCAATTCCTTTTCTCTTTAATAGGTTCCAGCACTGGTTATCAGTACGACTCCAAAGCCTTTTTATTTTCACTTGTAAACAAGCCAGGATTGGGACCTGTAAAACTGCTTCAGACAGGGAAATACAGTTCAAGCAGAGCACATTCCATAAACTCTGCCTCATCGTATGGCCCTATATTCGGAGGAGGACATGACATCCTCATTTCCAACGACGCCTCATCCAATACCAATTCTAACAGCAACCTTGGCTATACTTACGACTCACCGAGAGGATACAGCTACGGCACCACCTCCGCCAGAAAATTCCTGGCAGGATCAAGGTTCTTCACTCCAGATGAAATAGAAACGTTTTACGAAACAACCTAGATATCCAGATAATGGATAGATCCGCGCTTTACTGCTCAGTAAATAAATAATGATCATTTCCTGATAAGCCTATAAAAATTGGCTGCTGTCTGAAACAAGGTCAGGAAAAATTCGGTAAGATAAAAATTAATTGCTAAGAGATGTTTTGTAAGGTAACTGCTCCCCTTGCTTTTAATAAGACGGTGCAAACTCGTTTTTTCTTTTTCTTTGCTTTTTGCATTTAAATGCGAGAAAATTTTAATGTATCGTGATGTCACCAACAAAATTGCCTGACGGTTATGTTACTTTGCGGGAAAACCTGAAAAATAAATGATTATTTTTAAAATTCCAAGTGACTAATGATAGTTGCACTAATGATAATAATCACAAATTCTATTTTCTCGTTGGCTAAAACTTGAAGAGTCTTTAGAAAATACGCTCGATTTCCGGCCTCTGTTCTTGAAATGAGCCTGCGCTTTTCCACAAGACCGGACCCGGGAGACGGGCGGAAATCGAGCCTATTATTAGCGTGTATCAATCATTTTTTGCTTAAATATATATTTACTATTTATGCACTTGTCACTGGAAACCAACACCTTCCCGCCACATTCCTCCACACCGGGGAAACCTGGAGCATGGGTGAAGATTTTAAGGGCATTGAATCTTCGCCTTGCCCTAAGATGTGGTAGTCTTTCCCTTGTATAGGTGGTTGGGATTTGGAAAATTTTGTGCACAGCCTTAGAATATTTTCTTAGAGTCAGTTTTCGAAGACTTGTTATAGCAGAGCCCCCCGTGCGCGAATTTAAGCGCGCGCAGCGAGAGCTCCATATAAAAAAAAGCAAAATGGAGACCTATCAATGTCAGAAATTCTGGTTATGACGTTAGCGTACGCTCGTCTGCCCGTACCATTTTTGAGTTTGGGGTAAAAAAAACTCAGTAGGGTAGGGAAGGGAGTCACAGACATTGACGTTGCGTTTCGTTTTGACGCAAAATAAACCATTTAGGAGTTACTAAGAGTAAAAATCTAGATTGAAGTTTCTTATGTTCGGCTTAAGACAGAGTTTTCGCAAATAAATTTCTAAGGCTTTGCTAGCTCTTTTCTTTGGTCACTTTTTTTCACTCTCCACTAGACAGGTGAACTCATCATTCTTTCTGGTTCTTCCAGTTAGAAGACCTGGCGCCAGTTGTTGCCGGGAAGGCGGATAGCGCTATCCACTGGATAAATCACTATCTACCAGATAGCACAATTGGTTTCCTTAATACCTTATCTGCTGGATAGCGCTATCCATCTTTTGAACAACCGGGGCCTGACATAGTGTTATGCCTGAGCGCTTCTAGGATATATGACAAGTTTAATAATTCGACCCTTGGAAAAAAACTTAAGGAAGCTGTTCTATACCCTTTCTGCTTCATCCAGGTAGACTTCCTGGCCTATTATTATGACTGAACTCTTCCAGGAAATATAACAGGTTTAGCATTTTAATTGACGCGTAGAGAAAAAAAACCTTAGGAAGTTGTTCTATGTCCTTTCTAGTTCATGCGGGTAGAAGTCCTTGCATATTATCATGCATGAGCGGTCCTAGGATATATAACAGGTTTAGCATTCCGACCCGTCAGCGCCGCACACCATCGAATAGAAAAATCAAAATCGGTCAATGGATAAAGGTTGGTCAATTTTTCACGTGCGAGATGTATGGAGAAGTAGATTTTTGAATGGAGACGCCATGTTGTTGCCCTACGGAGAGGCACCAACATGGCGGCCGGAAGCCAACAGCAACATCCGTTAGCGAGTGTAGCTGCGAAAGCGTAGTCATCTCTCGAGGAACCTATAAACATTAACACTTTCCAAATACAATGAGTGTTCCTAAATGAAAGCTCTCTCGGCCACCAGGTAAATGTCGTGTTACACAAAAAATAGAAGCTATTGACACAAAACGAAGGACCCTTTCAAGGTGAAAAGTTTTTAGCTGCTCTAAGACTCACAAAAGTAAAAACTCGGGAGGAGCAATAATGTCTTACTTTTAAAATTTGGTGACGTCACGTGAAAACCAAGAGTACATTGAATCAAAAGAGCACCGCATTTCCCAGCCGTGGGAAATTGTGAGTAAATTAACCATTAGCCATGATACAGAGCGAAACTATATTACTGTAGTTACTATCAAGACATTTAGTCCCCTTGAATTTGTTGATTTATCGAGTATCATATCTGTTAACCAACTGATAATGCTAAATAGAGCTCGGTTCTAATATAATTATATTACTTTTTTTTGCTTTTGTCCGCGGGCCGGGGAAGGGCAACTCTAGAACAAAGAGATAGTAGCACCCAGCCCCCCCCCCCCCCCCCCCCCCACCACCCGTGCATTCAAATTTCAGAGACATCTTTTGAAAACAGTAAAAAAACAACAACAACAACAAGCTTTTAACACCACTTATGCACTTTAATAATAAATAGACGAAAACGCTGACGGTACTGCACATACCAACACGAGGAGCCGCAAGCAGTAAAATTTCTGTCCCGTAATTTAATCAGTTAAATCATCAAAGTTGACAGGTCTTTCTGATGATCAAAGCGACCGTTCGGTTTACCATTTACACCTTCAGTGCGAAGACTGTCACGGGAACATTAACACCTTCAGGATAATTGCTTACCATATTAAACAGTGGTAGGTCGCACGCGTCTGGTCGGTTTCGAAGAACGTGATCGTGACTGTTGTTTTCATTCAGTGAGTGTGCGCGTTGATATGCCAACGTTTAAAACAGACTGCAACATTAAATTTTTGTTATAAAAGCAAGGAAGCTGCTGAGTAGAAACTAAACCGTCCCAGACTTATTCCGTTTCATTCGTGTACTTTCATTTTGATGGGGTCTGTATGATGAATTTACTTCTGCCTTCTAATCAGGCACGTAAACAACATAGAGATAAAACATTTCATTTTGCTTTTGTGGAGTAAAAATTAGTAAAAGTTAAACTAGTGGACCACTTTCTCCGCGTACTTGTAAAAATAGGCATTTAATATGTCGCGCTACAGTGCGAAAATCTTCTTCTCGTGGATTAGATTTCAGTATACATATTCTTCATTTCGCGCCAGAATAAATTAGTTTGCGCGCAAAGGGCTTCTAAAAAAAGATCACAAGGTTTGTCCCACGTCGAGTTCTCCTTCTGGAGATACGCCGGCATGGTAGCTGGAATACATTGCCGAGGCGAAGATCTGGCATTTTTTCCTCCTCGTCTTTTTTTCTCCGCGACGTTTGTTTATATTTGTAGTGAGAATGCCACGCATATCGGTGGATTTTACTTCAGTCAAGCGGCTTCAGTTCCTGCGGCTTGCTACTCATCATAAAGAAGGGTGCCGGAATCGCTTTGTTCGCCTTTAACGGATTTGTTGTCGAATGCAAGGTAAAAGAACGGACTACTGTAGGGTAAGAATTGAAGTTTAAATTTGTTTCTCGGCGAAAAATAGTGCATACAACTCGTGAAACCCGTGAGTATTACCTCTGTTTAATATACCGGATGTCATGCGATGACCCCTCGCTTTTACGATGGATAGGACGGATACAAACAATAATTTCTTTCGCAACGTTTAGTATCATTTACTTAATATGGAGATCATCTGAGGACGATTTTTCGTTATATATGCTTCATTTCTTGGCTTATTCCGGCTACGTGCGAAGAATTAGATGACAATGTTTGTGTGCTATAATTATACTGATAATTTCTTGCACCGTGAAACTCATGAAAGCCAAAGAGTGTGTATAATCACAGGCAGACCACCCTCTGTTAGTGGGGGCCGTTGTTGATTGAAATCTGAGCGACGATCTTTTGTTATTTATAGAAGAAATACATAAGAACAATACGGTGGCTATAATTTGTTCCAAAATGCAGAATTTAAAGCAAATGTTTCAATAAAATCTCGCAAAATAGCGCTTAAAACAGCACGGGACGGCGAAAAAACATGACACATGACTCAGTTAACATTTTCCTCAAACTTTTATTGAAACATTTGCTTTAAATTCTGCATTTTGGAACAAATTATAGCCACCGTATTGTTCTTATGTATTTCTTCTATAAATAACAAAAGATCGTCGCTCAGATTTCAATCAACAACGGCCCCCACTAACAGAGGGTGGTCTGCCTGTGGTATAATATGCGAGCCAGCGAGCCAGCGAGTCATGCGAGTCAACATGTGAGTCAACATGCGAGCCATGCGAGTCATGCGAGTCAGCATAAAATAACTTTGTTTTTAACGTAAACTACTAAGTAACGTATCTATTCCAAAGGCAGGTCCTTTAAAATTCAGCTTCAGAAAAATTCGCCAACATACAAATTGAACGAGGTGAAACAATAACAAAGGTTTGAGAATGCGTTAAACAAAGGTTTGAAGGTTCTTCCTCGGTCACGTTTAATGAGTCACACCATATGTGGTAAGCCACGTGACCAGAACATAAAAAACACTCTTTAAAACCCAAACGTCTTGCGTCTTTCATAATAAAACCAATGCCAATGGCTTAAGAATATCGCGATAAAAAATCTGACTTACTAACAAGTTTAACGTTCCTTCCCAAAATTCACAGTTATTGAAAAAGCTATGACGTCATTGAGGGGTATTTTCGTTAGCGAGTCAACATTTTACGAGTTTATTCCTTGCGATTTACTTAAGATGTTTCTTTTCTTCAAGTTTATACACTCGATAAAATTGCGGGCGACATGACTTAAGACTCATGACTTCGGGCGAGATGACTTTCGGGCGACTTGACCGGTTACCTTTTCATACATTTTCTTTAAAAGGCTTTCTTGCTGTCGTCTGAACGCTAATTTCATGCTACAAATGTTAAAAAAGTTAAATTGCTTATGATTCGCCAAAAAATGGATTCTCTTTCCTTCGAACTTCTGTCTCGCATGGCTCACATGATGACTCGCATGACTCGCATGACTCACTGGCTCGACTCGCATGACTCGCTGGCTCGCTGGCTCGCAGTTTGTCAAGACTCAAAGCCAAACTTGTTTAACCCTAGCAAAAAACTCTTTTAATGGAGAAACTCAACCTGATAGTTGCACTAAAATCTAATAATTGTTACTGCATTTGCATGCTCTCTGTAACCTCGTGGGTAGAACATACCTGATGGTTACATTAATAATCACTGCATTTGCTCTCTGTAACCTCGTGGGTAGAATATACCTGACGGTTACATTTAATAATAATCACTGCATTTGTTCTCTGTAACCTCGTGGGTAGAACATACCTGAAGGTTACGTTAATAATAATCATTGCACTTTCTCTTTGTAACCTCGTGGGTAGAACATACCTGATGGTTACATTAATAATATCACTGCATTTGCTCTCCGTAACCTCGTGGGTAGAATATACCTGACGGTTACATTTAATAATAATCACTGCATTTGTTCTCTGTAACCTCGTGGGTAGAACATACCTGAAGGTTACGTTAATAATAATCATTACATTTTCTCTTTGTAACCTCGTGGGTAGAATATACTTGACGGTTACATTAATAATAATCACTGCATTTGCTCTCTGTAACCTGATGGTTACGTTAATAATAATCATTGCATTTCCCCTTTGTAACCTCGTGGGTAGAATATACCTGACGGTTACATTTAATAATAATCACTGCATTTGCTGTCTGTAACCTCGTGGGCAGAACATACCTGAAGGTTACGTTAATAATAATCATTGAATTTTCTCTTTGTAACCTCGTGGGAAAAAAAATTAATGCCTCTCTCCTGGAAATTTTGCCCTGTCCTTTGAGCTTAGTGATCTTTGGGTAGCGAATTCACGAAAACAGGTAAAACGCTTTTTTTAACAACAGCATTTATATTATTTGGCTTTTTGAGGGAGGTTAAACATTAATGAAATAGAATATAAAAAAAGCTGATAAAGCGGAAAAAGTTATCTTTACAAAATGCGCTTTGAAAATGTCAAGGAGTGAAATAAGCTGAAGTTTTGTAGTTAGCCCGAAGAAAACCTGTTCCTGCATGAAAAGCAGTTCTGATTCCCTTCTCTTAACTAGAAGAGATGCATATCCCTGTGAACCAGTTTTTTAACTAGGAACGATTCCCACTCACTTAAGATACTTTATTGACACGAGTTCCTATTTCAATATATGTCTAATTCAAGCTTAGCCGCGTGATAGCTCTTCATTAGCGAAAAGGTCCAAGTGATATTTTGATTGACGTGTTGTTTTGGATCCTGAGGTTTTTTAACACCTAGATATTCTAGGAATTTGCCCTTCAATTCCAAATTCTTTGATGTGCCGCCAGATGCCGTGCAAAAATATCACCTCTTGCGGCTCCTCGTGACTGGGACATGAGAGGTGGCGGTAATTTTCACCAGTCCTCTGAGGAGAGGTAAAAAAATGCTTCTTTTGTAGTCCTCTTTTGTGGTTTAAATAGCAATTATGACAACTCTTCCCCGCTAAAAAGGCGCGAGGCCAAAAAAACGGTGCTAGTCTTAAAACCAACTCCAGTTTCTCGGCGCAAAATGATCATTTGAGGCCGAAATTGTCCCTATGATGTCTTTTTGTGAAGAAACGAGAACGGTGATTCCCTTTTTATTATTACTGTTTTAAATCGTTGTGGCTACAAGAAAAATATATTTTAAGGAGAAAAATCTCGATAGTAGAAGCTGTATCATTATTTTGATCTGAGACTCGTGAAACACTGTGGCATTTAGAGCTACAGAGAAGTACGTCAAAATGCCTTTTTCTCCTACATTTTTTGCGAAATCGGGTCAGATTTGAGGTTACTTTATTGAAAAATTAGAGCTCAGACAAACAATTCAAGCGGCCGGGCTCTAGGTTTTAGATAATAGATAATATTATAATAGATAATGGATAATACCGAGCGAGAGTGAGAGCTTCGCGTTGGGGCCGGAAATGAGAAGCGAAGGATTTTGAGAAAGTCTAGGCTTTAGAAAAATTAGAAGTTTTTACGAAATAACATGAATTTTTGGCGATTTTTTAAGTTATGAACTTTTTGTGCACAACTTATGCTCGAAAAAAAAAAAAAACAACAACAACAACAACAACAATTAGAATTAGTGGCACGCAGTTCGAAAACAAGCACGGTGACCCATCTTTTATCATAGCACCACAAGAATTACACTATACTATAGGTAATAGCTATTTATCTGAGATAAATAGCTATTAGGGCAACCCCAAATAAAGGAGTTAAAGCGACTGACGAACTGATAGCTCAGATTTTTTTAAGAAGACTTAAAATCAATTTTTGGTGGTTGTTCAAGTTTTGAACATTTTGCGCACAACTAGGAAAAAAAACGCTAGCGCTTAGAACACGCGTGGAGAAAACAAGCACGGGTGACCTCATCTTTTTTCTTTCCAGTTTTTATATAAGCAATATCCTACAATAATATGGTATTACAAGAATTACGCTAAAAGATAAATAGTTATTAGGGCAACCCCAATTAAAGGAGTTTAAGCGACTGGCGAACACAGATCGTCAATGACTTAGAGAACTCCGACTATTTAGCTTTAAATGTGGCAACGTTCTGTAATTGCACAATTTTTGTACTGTGAACTAAACATCTGTTTTATGCAACGATTCAGTGAAACCGTCCGTAAGATGCAGAAGCCTAAATGTGTTGAGTGCGTTTACAACTTACTCTGGTGTTCTCTTATCTAAAAGCGACGTCAGAATACGATAAATTTTTAAAATCGTTGTTTATAAGCGTCAATTTATGCAACACTTATCACGTCCGTAGAGATGAGGCCGAATGTCAGTAAGACACGTTTAATTTTAAAATGCAATTTTTTAGTGAAGATTACACGATGTCCCTAAATCCTTTCACCTATATCAGGGTCTAAAAGAAGATACTCGGAATTAGAGATTTGACCAAAATACATGCAGTGCGTAGATTCTGGCAAACATTAAGACATTAAATATTTTATAAGCCATTAGTGAATTATTTTCACCGTAAAGTAGCAATACATGTTCACCTGTCAAACAGCTAACAGGTTCTTGACGAACGAACCTAGTAGATTCCTCTCCTTTTCAGCTACCTGCAGGGTTCGCTTAACACTTTACCGTGTTCCCGAAACCGAGCGAAAGAAATAACGCCTGGAATATTACTTGCCCCGAAACATTGCTCACAACGCCATCGACAGCAATACAGAAGGTCAGTAATCTAGTAATCTTGAAAATTGCAAGAGAGTTTCCAAATTGTGTTTTGACACGCAAATTATTTTCATGCGGAAAAGGAGAAATAAAATTGTTGGGCTTCAATAAATTAAAGGAACCTATTCAGTTTATCAAACATGCAGATAAAAAAGGAGTCAAAGAATGTGCAAATTATAAAAGAAAGTAAAGTAAAAGTTGTTCCTATTCAGGATATTAGCCATCACTGAACTTTCCATAAAAATGTTACCAAAGTGACTTGCCCAACTAACTTTCTTAAGCCAGGGCAATTCCAACTCCTTCATGCTTTGCCCTGATTTTCCTTAAACAGTACAGTCTCATGATGCTGCTTACAAAATTTTTTCTGAGTAAACCAAACTTTCCCTAACATGAGGATTTCCTCTAATCGAATGGTTTTGTTTGTATTTTAGCCATAACAATCTCGGTTTCTTTTCCCTAACAATATCATTCTTTTGTGACTAAAAATGGTTATTATGATGACAATGTGTAGAACTGACAGGCACGAAGGAGGAAAAGGATAGAGAAAGAAGTGAGATGAATAATTAGAATAAAACGAAACTAATAATGAAAAGGGCAAATATAGGGATAAATAGGACGCACTGTGGTAGTTTTTAATGGGTGGGGGGAGGTTTTTTGCGGGTCATGGAAATCGAAAGGACAAGTTTAATAGAAAGGGAGCAGGAAAGAAAGACGTCACTGAAAACACGTGTACCCACCTCGTCCTGCATGCCATGAATTAACGCTCTGGGCGTTTACATGAAAAAATATACCATGCACAGCAAGCTAATTGATGAAATTTACCCAGTTAAAAAATATGGCAAACAACGAATACCGGCCCTCGTAAGATAGAATAACGTACACGAGGAGAGGGCTACAAGGAGATTTAAAAAAAAAACTCGTTCGACGGAGTCGACTCAGAGATATACAGAAAAGCGCTAAAAGTGCAAATTTTGAATGAAGTTGCGACTTAGGCAGGTGGTGAGAAAAAGGGGTTGGTTTTCAAGATCGCAATAAGGAACATACACCAAAATTTCCTAGCATCGAAATTTAAGTTCCTAGTGTTGGATTTTCTGTAGCTGGTCTAGATCACGCAAAATTCGGTTTTGTCAATTTCAAAGTTTTTTGTTTATTGCTGTCATAGTAATATCGATTTTACTTAAAACTACATTTTCACAAGTTTTAATCCATAGCCAATTACTGGTGAAAATTTTTTGGCGATCGCACAAGGAAAAAACACTTTTAAGGCGATTGAAAAATAGCGGTATGGCCTCTGAAAAACTGTATCGAAACACGTTAAATGTGGCAACGTTCTCTAATTGCAGAATGTTTCTACATGTGAACTAAACATCTTTTTTATGCAACATCGACTTTAGTTAACAAGTCCGTAAAATGTGTTCAGTGCGTTTACAACTTCCTCTGGTGTTCTCTTTCTTAAAAGTAACGTCATTGAGATAAATTGTTAAAATCGTTTTTTATTAAGGGTTATTTTATGCAACACTTCGCGTCCGTGAAGATGAAGTCGAATTTGAGTAAGATCCACGTTTTAAAATGCCTTTTTTTAGTGAAAGTCGTTTCCTTCATTACCTACATGTACCTATGAGATCTCAGCTCAAAAGAGTATTCTTGGAATCAGGGGTTTGACCAAAATACAAGCTGTGAGAGATTCTAGCAAAACATTAAAACAATAAATATTTTATAAGCCATTAGTGAATAATTTGCACTGTAAAGTAGCAATACGTGTTTCACCTGTCAAACAACTAACAGGTCCTCTCCTTTTCAGGCACCTTCAAGGTTCACTTAAAACTTTACCTTGTTCCTAAAAGCGAGGGTAAGAAATATCCCCGTGCAATATTAAGCTGAAACATCGCGGACAACGCCATCGACAGCAATCCAGAATGTCAGTAATCTAGTAATCTTGAAAACTAGAACAGAACTTCCACATTGGTTTTTGACACGCAAATTGTTCACATGCGGAAAAGGAGAAATAAAATGGTCAGCATATTATGATGAATCAATAAGGAACCTATTCAGTTCATCAAACAAACAAAAAGAAGTCACAGAATCGAATGTGCAAGTCAAGTAAAAGTTGCTCCTATTCAAGATATCAGCCATCAATGAACTTTTCATAAAAATGTGAGTTGCCGAACTAACGTTCTTACGGGAAATGATGCTGTTTACAAAATTTACTGAGTAAACCAAACGTTCCCTAACATGAAGCTTTGCGCTAATCAACTGGTTTGCTTTGTGTTCTAGCCATAACAATCTCGGTTTCTTTCCCTTAACAATATCATCCTTTTGTGACTATAAAAGGTTATTATCATGACAATATGTGGAACTGACAGATACGAAGGAGCAAAAGGGTAGAGTATGTCTTTTGGTGAAGAAACGAGAAAAAGGAGAAAAATCTGGATAGTAGAAGCTGTATCATTATTTTGATCTGCAACTCGTGAAACTCTGTGGCATTTGGAGCTACAGAGAAGTATGTCAAAATGCCCGTTTCTCCTACATTTGTTGCAAAATCGGGTCAGATTTGAGGTGACTTTATTGAAAAATTAGAGCTCAGACTAGCAAGCGGGCTCCAGGTTTTGGGTAAACTTGCCTACAAGTCGAGTTCAAATTTGTTCACGAGCGCGAAACGCGAGTGGTAGATTTTTCATGTTTTCTGCGGCAAAAGCATGGATAATAGCGAGCGAGAGTGAGCGAGAGTGAGAGCTTCAGCGTCTTGGTTTTAGAAAGATTCGCAGTTTTTACGAAATAACAAATTTTTGTACTCGAAAAAAAAAAAACAACAACAACAACAACAGCAACAACAATTAGAATTAATGGCACGCAGTCCGAAAACAAACACGGTGACCCCATATTTTATTAGCACCACAAGAATTACACTATAAGATAAATAGCTGTTAGGGCAACCCCAATTAAAGGAGTTTAAGCGACTGGCGAACTGACAGCTCAGGCTTTTTTACGAAGACTTGATATGAATTTTTGGTGGTTGTTCACGTTTCGAGCATTTTGCGCACAACTAGGAGAAGCGATTGGCGAACACAGATCGTCAATGAGTTAGAGATTTCCGATAATTTAGCTTTAAATGTGGCAACGTTCTGTAATTGCAGAATTTTTGTACTGTGAACTAAACATCTGTTTTTAAAGCAAAAATTCAGTTAACGCGTCCGTAAGATGCAGAAGCCTAGATGTGTTGAGTGCGTTTACAACTTACTCTGGTGTTCTCTTAACTAAAAGCGACGTCAGAATACGATAAATTCTTAAAATCGTTGTTTATAAGCGTCATTTTATGCACCACTTATCACGTCCATAGAGATGAAGCCGAATGTCAGTAAGATACAGGTTTTAAAATGCCATTTTTTCGTGAACATTACATGAAGTCCCTAAATCGATCCTTACTTACATTCACCTATCTCAGGGTCTAAAAGGGGATTCTCGGAATCAGAGATTTGACCAAAATACATGCAGTGCGTAGATTCTGGCAAAACGTTAAGACATTAAATATTTTATAAGCCATTAGTGAATTATTTTCACCGTAAAGTAGCAATACGTGTTCACCTGCCATACAGCTAACAGGTTCTTGATGATCGAATCTAGTAGATTCCTCTCCTTTTCAGCCACCTGCAGGATTCGCTTAACACTTTACCGTGTTCCCGAAACCGAGCGGAAGAAATAACCCCTGGAATATTACTTGCCCTGAAATATCGCTGACACCACCATCAACAGCAACTCAGAAGGTCAGTAATCTAGTAATCTTGAAAACTGCGACAGAGTTTCCAAATGGAAAAGGAGAAATAAAATGGTCGGGCTTCAATGAATTAAAGGAACCTATTCAGTTTATCAAACATGCAGACAAACAAGAAGTCACAGAATGCGCAAATTATAAGAGAACGGTAAAGTAAAAGTTGCTCCTATTCAGGATATCAGCCATCATTGAACTTTCCATAAAAATGTTACCAAAGTGACTTGTCCAACTAACTTTCTTAAGCCAGGACAATTCCAACTCCTTCATGCTTTGCCCTGATGTTTGTTAAACACGTACAGTCCCTTGAATCCCCCGACAGATTGTGTTGATCAACGATCACTGAAGCGTGACCGAAAATTCAGAAGTCATGTTGAAAATTTTCAAGGTCGAGTTTGAAATATGACTCGGCAAGTTTAATTTGATGAAGCGAGTTGAGACTATACGTCGAGCAAGGTCAAATAAAAGAGTTGAGTTTAAAAAATAAAAGACGAGTGTCAAAACGTTTTCCAATGATGCGAAATCTGAAGGAAGAGTGTAAAATTTTAAATTCGGCTATAAAATTGAAGTAGAAATTTAAATGATGAATTTAAAATTCAAACAATGAATTTTTGCGGGGATCGTACTCCATAGATTAGAGGAAAGCTTCATGTTAGGGAATTAAAGTTTGGTTTACTCAGAAAAAAAATTGCAAGCAGCAGTCATTTGGCTTGTGATCCGCGTAGTCGACTGGGTCGTGGGTGGCTCTTTAGTCGATCATGCTTTGCGCCTTTTGTACAAACATGGCGGCAGCGTTTGCACTTGCTGTTGTACAAGACTGGTACATATATTTAAGACGCATTCGTCTTGCAAAATTTTCAAAATCTCGTAGGAACTGTCGTCGTATTTTGTTTCTGTTCATTAATACTCTGCACGGGCCAACATACCGGCAGACGAACAATTTAAAAAGGACATTAAGGCCATCAAACAGAAAACCTTCTATCAGATATAAAGTTTACAGAGAGGGAGTCTGCCATCCTGAAACACAACAACAAAGAGGAAAAAGAAATATTGCCTTTCGTGACACAGTACCAGCCCTAAATTGTCTGTTTTAATGAAAAAAAAAAATGGAAACTTATACAAAACTAACCGTTACTTCATCAAATTTTCAAAGAACCACCAATCATTTCCTACAAGGAAGGAAAATCCCTAAAGGACATGCTCGTTAGAGCTAAAATATAAAAGGTTACTCAAGGTTTCACGCCGGTATAGATGTGCGGCCCGTCACCCTTGCATTTTCTCTTCTGATACATCAAAGGGAGGGCGACCTCTGCGGCCAGTGAGTAAACGGTTTGCCGTGTAGGTGCAGGGAACGCTCGATCTCTCTGCGCTCGATAAACATGTAATGGCCGATCCTATGCAAGCCACGATAGGATCGGGTAAATCCCCACAACTTATAATAATACGATTTAAGTACTCCAATCGAAGCAAAAGTCCGCTGTAATCACCGTCCTGATAGGAATCTAAACGCTCCAAAGTGTCTTGTACAACAGCAAGTGTGAACGCTTCCGCCATGTTTGTACAAAAGGCGCAAAGCATGATGGACTAAAGAGCCTACGGTGGCCCAGAAGTGCGCCCCGAATTCCAAATGACAGTCTTTATCTTTAAACATACTCCGAATTCCAATAATGATTCTAAAAGTTCATCTTAATTCTAAAAGCTCACTCCTGATTCTTAAAGTTCACTCTTAATTGTAAAAGTTCACTCCAAATTTCAAAACTTCACTCCGAGTGCGAAAACTTCACTTTGAATTCGAAAACTTCACTCCTAATTTCAAAACCCCTCTCCGAATTCGAAAACATAACTTCCAATTTGAAAATATCACTCCAAATTCGAAAACTCCACTCCGAATTTGAAAACGCCACTCCGAATTTCGAAACTCCACTCCGAACTTGAAAACATCACTCCAAATTGGAATTCTCCATTCCAAATTCGAAAACTTCACTCCCAATCCAAAATCGAAAACCCAGAGTCCTCGGGCTCTTTGGTCAGCGGTAGAGCTCGAGGGAGGGGTAGGTACGTGGTGTAAGTATCATATAGTGGTTCCCCGTTAGTGAAGTTTTGTAATTTGGAGTATCTTTTACAATTAAGAGTGAACTTTAAGAATCAGGAGTGAGCTTTTAGAATTAAGAGTGAACTTTTAGAATCAGGAGTAAGTTATTGGAATTCGGGGGCATGTTTAAAAGATAAGGACTGTCATTTGGAATTCGGAGAGCACTTCTGGGCCACAGTAAGAGCCACCCACGACCCACCCCCCAACAGATGGTCTTGATCAACGATCACTGAAGCGTGACCGAAAATTCAGAAGTCGTGTTGAAAATTTTCAAGGTCGAGTTTGAAATATGACGCGGCAAGTTTAATTTGATGAAGCGAGTTGAAAATATACGGCGAGCAAGGTCAAATAAAAGAGTTGAGTTTAAAATATAAAAGACGAGTGCAAAAACATTTTCCAGTGATGCGTAGTCTGAGGGAAGAGTGTAAAATTTTAAATTCGGCCATAAAATTCAAGTAGAAATGAAAATGATAAATTTAAAATTCAAAGAATGAATTTTGGCGGGGATCGTACGCCATACTAATCGAATGGTTTGCTTTGTATTTTAGCCATAACAATCTCGGTTTCGTCTCCCTAACAATATCATTCTTTTGTGACTAAAAACGGTTATTATAATGACAATATATAGAACTGACAGGCACGAAGGAGGAAAAGGATAGAGTAAGGAGTGAGATGAATAATTAGAATAGAACGAAACTAATAATGAAAAGGGCAAGTATCGAGATAAATAGGACGAACTGTGATCTTTTTTAATTGGGTGGGGGGAGGTTTTTTACGGGTCATGGAAATCGAAAGGACAAGTTTAATAGAAAGGGAGCAGGAAAGAAAGACGTCACTGAAAACATCCACCTCGTCCTGCATGCCATGAATTAACGCTCTGGGCGTTTACATGAAAAATATACCATGGACAGCAAGCTAATTGATGAAATTTACCCAGTTAAAAAATATGGCAAACAACGAATACCGGCCCTCGTTCGATAGAATAACGTACGCGAGGAGAGGGCTACAAAGAGATTTAAAAAAAAAAAACTCGTTCGACGGAGTCGACTCAGAGATACAGAAAAGCGCTAAAAGTGCAAATTTTCAATGAAGTTGCGACTTAGGCAGGTGGTGAGAAAAAGGGGTTAGTTTTCAAGATCGCAATAAGGAACATACACCAAAATTTCCTAGCATCGAAATATGATACTAGGCAACATTCTGACGCTACTTAAGAATAATTTGAGTCATTTATAACGTTTTTATTAAATAATCTATCACGGCTATTGAAAATTTAGGGTTTGAAATATATTTTAGTTTTAGTCGAATTCAAACATACAGAATTTTTTACTTCTTACGGAGATTGTTTTCTAAATACCAAACTTTAAGTTCCTAGTGTTGGATTTTCTGTAGCTGGTCTAGATCACGCAACATTCGGTTTTGTCAGTTTCAAAGTTTTTTGTTTATTGCTGTCATAGTTATATCGATTTTACTTAAAACTACATTTTCACAAGTTTTAATCCATAGCCAATTACTGGTGAAAATTTTTTGGCGATCGCAGAAGGAAAAAAACACTTTTAAGGCGATTGCCGGAAAAATAGCGGTATGGCCTCTGAAAAACTGTATCGAAACACCTTAAATGCATTTGTGGCAACGTTCTAATTGCAGAATGTTTCTACTGTGAACTAAAAATCTTTTTTATGCAACATCGACTTTAGTTAATAAGTCCGTAAGATGTGTTCAGTGCGTTTACAACTTCCTTTGGTGTTCTCTTTCTTAAAAGTAACGTCATTGAGATAAATTTTTAAAATCGTTTTTTATTAAGGGTCATTTTATGCAACACTTCGCGTCCGTGAAGATGAAGTCGAATTTGAGTAAGATCCACATTTTAAAATGCCTTTTTTAGTGAAAGTCATTTCTTTCATTACCTACATGCACCTATGAGATCTTAGCTCAAAAGAGTATTCTCGGAATCAGGGGTTTGACAAAAATACATGCTGTGAGAGATTCTAGCAAAACATTAAAACAATAAATATTTTATAAGCCATTAGTGAATAATTTGCACTGTAAAGTAGCAATACGTGTTTCACCTGTCAAACAGCTAACATGTCCTCTCCTTTTCAGGTACCTGCAAGGTTCACTTAAAACTTTACCTTGTTCCTAAAAGTGAGGGTAAGAAGTATCCCCGTGCAATATTAAGCTGAAACATCGCGGACATCGCCATCGATAGCAATCCAGAAGGTCAGTAATCTAGTAATCTTGAAAACTGCAACAGAATTTCCAAATTGTTTTTTGACACGCAAATTGTTTTCATGCGGAAAAAGAGAAATAGAATGGTCGGGCATATTATGATGAATCAATAAGGAACCTATTCAGTTCTTCAAGCGAACAAAAAGAAGTCACAGAATGCGCAAATAAAAAGAGAAAGTCAAGTAAAAGTTGCTCCTATTCAAGATATCAGCCATCAATGAACTTTTCATAAAAATGTTACCAAAGTGACTTGCCCAGGGCAATTCCAACTCCTTTATGCCTTTCTTTGATTTCTGCTAAACACAGTCCCATGATGCTGCTTACAAAATTTTACTGAGTAAACCAAACGTTCCCTAACATGAAGCTTTGCGCTAATCAACTGGTTTGCTTTGTGTTCTAGCCATAACAATCTCGGTTTCTTTCTCTTAACAATATCATCCTTTTGTGACTATAAAAGGTTATTATCATGACAATATGTGGAACTGACAGGTACGAAGGAGCAAAAGGGTAGAGTATGTCTTTTTGTAAAGAAACGAGAAAAAGGAGAAAAATCTGGATAGTTAAGAAGGTGTATCATTATTTTGATCTGAAACTCTGTGGCATTTGGAGCTACAGAGAAGTATGTCAAAACGCCCGTTTCTCCTACATTTGTTGCAAAATCGGGTCAGATTTGACGTGACTTTATTGAAAAATTAGAGCTCAGACAAGCAAGTGGGCTCTAGGTTTTAGATAGACTTGCCTACAAGTCGAGTTCAAATTTGTTCACGAGCGCGAAGCGCGAGCGGTAGATTTTTCATGTTTTCTGCGGCAAAAGCACCTTGGATAATAGCGAGCGAGAGTGAGAGCGTCGCGCTGGGGCCGGAAATGAGAAGCAAAGGACTATCAAAAAGTCTTGGTTTTAGAAACATTCGCAGTTTATACGAAATAACATGAATTTTTTGGCGTTTTCTTAAGTTTAGAATATTTTGCGCACAACTTGTACTCGAAAAAAAAAAACAAACAAACAAACAACGTCAACAACAATTAGAATTAATGGCACGCAGTTCGAAAACATGCACGGTGACCCCATCTTTTATTAACACCACAAGAATTACACTATAAGATAAATAGCTATTAGGGCAACCCCAATTAAAGGACTTTAAGCGACTGGCGAACTGATAGCTCAGGCTTTTTTAAAAAGACTTAATATGAATTTTTGGTGGTTGTTCAAGTTTCGAACATTTTGCGCACAACTAGGACAAAAAACGCTAGCGCTTAGAACTACTGGCACGAGTGGAGAAAACAAGCATGAGTGACCTCATCCTTTTTTTTTTCCAGTTTTTATACAGTCAATATCCTAAATAATATGGCACTACAAGAATTACGCTAAAAGATAAATAGTTATTAGGGCAACCCCAGATCGTCAATGAGTTAGAGATCTCCGACTATTTAGCTTTAAATGTGGCAACGTTCTGTAATTGAACAATTTTTGTACTGTGAACTAAACATCTGTTTTTAAAGCAACAATTCAGTTAACGCGTCCGTAAGATGCAGAAGCCTAAATGTGTTGAGTGCGTTTGCAACTTACTCTGGTTTTCTCTTAACCAAAAGCGACGTCAGAATATGATAAATTTAAAAAATCGTTGTTTATAAGCGTCATTTTATGCAACACTTATCACGTCCGTTGAGATGAAGCCGAATGTCAGTAAGATACTCGTTTTAAAATGCCATTTTTTAGTGAACATTACATGATGTCTTTAAATCTTTACTTACATTCACCCATCTCAGGGTCTAAAAGAAGATACTCAGAATTAGAGATTTGACCAAAATACATGCAGTGGGTAGATTCTGGCAAGCATTATTACATTAAATATTTTATAAGCCATCAACCTCGTTCCTAGGGTCTCTCGTGATGAGAGACCCTGGGAACGAGGTTGATAAGCCATTAGTGAATTATTTTCACTGTAAAGTAGCAATACGTGTTCACCTGTCATACAGCTAACAGGTTCTTGATGATCGAATCTAATAGATTCCTCTCCTTTTCAGCCACCTGCAGGGTTCGCTTAACACTTTACCGTGTTCCCGAAGCTGAGCGGAAGAAATAACCCCTGGAATATTACTTGCCCTGAAACATCGCTGACAACGCCATCGACAGCAATCCAGAAGGTCAGTAATCTAGTAATCTTGAAAATTGCAACAGAATTTCCAAATTGTTTTTTGACACGCAAATTGTTTTCATGCGGAAAAGGAGAAATAAAATGGACGGGCTTCAATGAATTGAAGGAACCTATTCAGTTTATCAAGCATGCAGATCAAAAAGAAGTCAAAGAATGCGCAAATTATAAGAGAAGGTAAAGTAAAAGTTGTTCCTATTCAGGATATCAGCCATCACTGAACTTTCCATAAAAATGTTACCAAAGTGACTTGCCCAACTAACTTTCTTAAGCCAGGACAATTCCAACTCCTTTATGCTTTGCCCTGATTTTTGTTAAACACGTACAGTCTCATGATGCTGCTTACAAAATTTTTTCTGAGTAAACTAAACTTTAATTCCCTAACACGAAGCTTTCCTCTAATCGAATGGTTTTCTTTGTATTTTAGCCATAACAATCACGGTTTCTTTTCTGTAAAAATATCATTCTTTTGTGACTAAAAACGGTTATTATAATGACAATGTGTGGAACTGACAGGCACGAAGGAGGAAAAGGATAGAGCAAGGAGTGAGATGAATAATTAGAATAGAACGAAACTAATACTGAAAAGGGCAAGTATCGAGATTTTTAGGACGCACTGTGGTAGTTTTTAATTGGTTGGGGGGAGGTTTTAATCGGATCATGGAAATCGAAAGGACAAGTTTAAAAGAAAGGGAGCAGGAAGGAAAGACGACACTAAAAACACCCATTTCGTCCTTCATGCCATGAATTAACGCTCTGGGCGTTTACATGAAAAATATACCATGCACAGCAAGCTAATTGATGAAATTTACCCAGTTAAAAAATATGGCAAACAACTAATACCAGCCCTCTTGAGATAGAATAACGTACGCGAGGAGAGGGCTACAAAGAGATTTAAAAAATAAAAATCCTTCGACGGAGTCGATTCAGAGATATACAAAAAAGCGCTAAAAGTGCAAATTTTGAATGAAGTTGCGACTTAGACAGACTTAGACAGGTGAGAAAAAGGGGTTAGTTTTCAAGATGACAGTAACGAACATACACCTAAATTTCCTAGCATGGAAATATGGTAATAGGCAGCATTCTGACGTTACTTAAGAATAATTTGAGTCATTTATAACTTTTTATTAAAAACTCTATCACAGCTATTGAAAATTTAGGGTTTGAAATATATTTTAGGTTTAGTCGAATTCACGTCCGTGAAGATGAAGTCGAATTTCAGTAAGATCCACGTTTTAAAATGCCTTTTTTAGTGAAATTCATTTCCTTCATTACCCACATTCACCTATGAGGTCTCAGCTCAAAAGGGTGTTCTGGGAATCAGGTGTTTGACCAAAATACATGATGTGAGAGATTCTAGCAAAACATTAAAACAATAAATATTTTATAAGCCATTAGTGAATAATTTGCACTGTAAAGTAGCAAAGATACGTGTTTCACCTGTCAAACAGCTAACAGGTCCTATCCTTTTCAGGAACCTGCAAGGTCCACTTAAAACCTTACCTTGTTCCTAAAAGCGAGGGTAAGAAATATCCCCCGGCAACTGATTAACCTGAAACATCGCGGACAACGCCATCGACAGCAATCTAGGAGATCAGTAATCTAGTAATCTTGAAAACTGCAACAGAACTTCCACATTGGTTCTTGACACGCAAATTGTTCACATGCGGAAAAGGAGAAATAGAATGGTCGGGCATATTATGATGAATCAAGGAACCTACTCAGTTCATCAAGCAAACAAAAAGAAGTAAAAGAATGCGCAAATAAAAAGAGAAAGTCAAGTAAAAGTTGCTCCTATTCAAGATATCAGCCATCAATGAACTTTTCATAAAAATGTAATACCAAAGTGACTTGCCCAACAAACGTTCTTAAGGGCAATTCCAACTCCTTTATGCCTTGCTTTAATTTTTGCTAAACACAGTCCCATGATGCTGCTTAAAAATGTTTTCTGTGTAAACCAAACCTTCCCTAACATGACTCTTTCCGCTAATCAACTGGTTTGCTTTGTGTTCTAGCCATAACAATCTCGGTTTCTTTTCCTTAACAATATCATCCTTTTGTGACTATGAAAGGTTATTATCATGACAATATGTGGAACAGGTACGAATGAGCAAAAGAGTAGAGTAAAAAGTGAGATAAATGATTAGAATGGAACGAAGCTAATAATCAAAAGGGCTAGTATCGGGTTAAATAGGACGCACTGTGGTCGTTTTTATTTGGGTAGGGGAAGGTTTTGTTCGGGTCGTAGAAATCGAAAGGACAACTTTAATAGAAAGAAGGCAGTGAAGAAAGACGACGCTGAAAACACCCATTTCATCCTTCAGCGTAGTGACTGCATGCCATTAATCAACGCTTTGGGCGTTTACATGAAAAGTATACTATGCACCCAAGCTAATTATGAAGTTTACCCAGTTAAAAAATATGGCAAACAACCAATAGTCCTCGTGAGATAGAATAACTTACGCGAGGAGGGAGAAGGAGGGGGCTGGAAAAATCGTCATTCAAATTCGCTGAAGATTAAAAACACCACCCAAAGGAATAAATTATAGAAAGATCTAGAATATCGGGTTTCAAAAGCACCTTAAGATGCTCTGGTATAGGCTAATTCGCGGAAAACTCGAGTCTCAAAATTTTGCAGGTTCTCCGTTTGCGCCCCATATATGACATGCTCGGTACACAGACCAAAGTGATATTCTTGTTTTAACCAGGTATTCACGTTTTGCAAAGATGCATGAAAAGACCGCTGTTACGGGACTTCTTTTCACGATCTTCTTTCTTGGTCTGATCCGCAAAGCAGCAACTACAGATCAGTGTAACGGACCTCGCCAAATACCCATCCAGGGCAACATGCTGAAGGGACACATCTATGAAACCCGATGGGTACGATCCGGGTATGCGGAGTGCTTGTTTATATGCAGAGAGGAAAAAGTCTGCCAAAGCTTCAACTTTGTGGTTAAAGAAAGCAAGTGTGAGTTCAATAATCGCACAAAGGAAGCCTGCAGTCCTGAGGATTTTGTTTTCGACCGTCATCGTCTTTATGTCAAACTTGACGTCAGTAGAGGTAAGGAACTTTGAAACTGTCTTAAACGGTATACATCCGCTTTTTAAAAAATTTATCACCTCGAAACAACTTTGTTTCACTTTCAGATAGATTTTTTAGTCATTTTGTTTGCTTTAAAGGGGCTATATCACAAAGAAAATTGCTGTTTTAAGTCAATTCTGTGCTGAAGTGATTACTTAGTTCCTTTAACCTCAAGCAAAATGCTCCTGTAGAGTAACGAGGAAGATATCAAACAAATTTCATCAACATTACTTTTTTCATGATTTTTGCAGGCACAGCATTACAATTTGAAAAAATTGGCTCATTTTTTTTTCAGTTCAGTTCAATCCATGTTCATCCTTGCCATCAGCAGCAACGGACACCAGGAAACAGTTTCAATGCGTATAAAATACACTCTTAAATACCAAAACTGGGCTATTATTTTTGGAATTTAATTGATCCAAGTATACGTTGTAGCATTTTATAACGACGACAAAAAGCTTGACGTAGCTCTTTTTAGTTCTGTTTTGATGCCAACAGGGAAGCCATAGAAAGGTGATAATTTGAACATGTCATACAAGGCCACACCTAACGAACTGACGAGAGTCCGATTACTTGCAGACAAATTAGAAACCAAAATTAAATAGTTTTAAAGTCCCTTTATTGCGCGTAGGATTAGCCTGTGTCCAGCGTGTCAGTCTCGCGCGTCTTACGTTACCATCCCCTTTCCACTCCAAACACCTGCTTTTCAGGCTATACGGGATTTAATTTCGTTTTGTCATGCCAAAAAAGAGATATTTCCTCGGGTGGTGTTGTCAGTTGTGAAAAACCACCTAGGCTTGTTCCTGTCAAAGGTTTTCTGAAGTTGTAAGGTGAAATTAACCTATATTTACGCAGCAGCAGACATTCAACGTTACACTGTGGCTTAGCGCCTCTCTGGAAGTGAAATTGCTGATTACATACTAAATCACGGACGAACAGGAGTCTTGTAGTGCGATGGTCGAGTGTAGGGAATTCGAAACGAATTTTTTGGGGATCTCAGCCAAAAAAGCAATAAACAAACTATCCATGAATAACAGAAGACTCTTGATAGCAGCTGTATTTCATTTTGTACATCCAGTGGAAAAAGACAGTTAAAAACATCACAAGTTGACACAAAACTCTGTCAGCTTCAGCTGTCAAAGTAAACAACTTTCAAGATGCTGCATAAATTTTCCGCATGAACTCACCTGTCAAATTTTGACCAATCAGAGCATACACATTGGACGTAGAGCGTGACCAACGAGTGAACATGGTTGAAAAAACTGGTTGAATTTTCGCGTCCGAGGTCAGTTTGAAATCAAAATCTTAATAGTGCGGGGCCATAATGACATAAACACAACATATTTCATATAAATTAAAACAAAATAAACTTGAGCCTGCGATCATTTGAAAACGAGTAACTCGATCTCGATGGGTCGACACCTGAGCCCGCGATACCGCCCGGTGATACTGGTCAGCGGATACCTTGTTTTGACAGCTGTCAATTGAACATTGATGTACAATCAGTTTCCTCCTGGGCTCCCAAAGTATTTAGAAAGTGTGAAAGTAAATATTGGTTTTCCTGTGGTGCGGGGGTCGGTGTACGGTCACGTGATTACCAAATTTTCTGGGATGGGTAGATTTACTAAGCTATGGGGCTCCGCCCACGCGCGCGCAAAGCGCGCGCGTGGAGCTCCGCTAAAAAAGAACTTAACCAAAAAAATATAATTTTATTTGAATGTCTGTGATCATGATAACAACGTAGACATTGATCTGTTGATTTTAAGGTGTCCAATGTTTAGACGGCTTGTTTTTTTTTTTTTTTAAATTCTAGTTCCCCTTGGTTCTATTCCTGAGCTGCCGGCGACATCATGCCAGGAAATAAACAAAAACGAAGGAAAAAAATTGGACAGCGGCAAGTACTGGATGTCTTTAAGTGGAACTATTGTCCATGTTTACTGCAATATGAGTACCGTTCCGGAAGGTAAGTTCAATCCTTGCATCAGTATTATTATAATCTATAACGAGTATCACACCTGTAATGCCAGTTGAGGTACAAAATTTCTGAGACCGCAGCCTTGCAAGAAGTCTAGGGTTACCAATGCAACTGCCACAGGACTTTCGCAAAGACCTTCCTAAGAATGTTAGCTGTTCCAATCAGAGTTGCTTTCTCGATCCTTTTTGTTGTTGCTGTTGTTATTGTTATCATTATCATTCTTCGTGTCCTCTTCCTGTTCTTCTTTCGATTTATTTATCAATCCTCTAGAGTTGCTCCTTTCTGATTCAGCATTATTAATTATCAATAGAGAAAGAAAGGTTCCAAACTTATTCCTTTCTCCACCTCAACCAGAAGACGTTATACAAATGCTGAACCCGTTTCCACCTTTGACGGATTCATCGACGTCAGTCTTCTGAAAATTATTTGGGGTTGGTATCAAGATCTTGATTTTATTGTCGGAAGTTGACTTGGTGTGAAAGGATCCAGTTTTCAATCCATGTTCACTTGACGAGACCGTAAGCGAACGGGGTCTTCACACACAATCTTCTCTCCGGAGTCATCGGTTGCTCTTCGTAAGGCGCAGTCCACTCAGCGAGTGGACTGTGCCGAACAGGTGAACGTTCGGTCTTTGTTAAATCCTTAAGAGTGGCTTTCTGAGAAGATCAACTATACCCATGTAAGATAGAAAAATTCGATTTTCCAAAACTTTGCCAGGATGAAGCCCTTGATTAACTTGTTTCAAAACTGTAAATAATAATCGTATTTTTCCATACTGCATAGGTATAGGTGATCTCAGAAAGCCGCTCTTAAGATTTCACTGAGATCAACACAGGAAGCGAAGGAAGTCTCGCTCCAGGGTTCTCAGGCACCCGGACTTAATTGATAGAACATTATATCAATGTCGCTCACGAATGTGACTGGTTCTTGGTGAAACTGCTAATAACACCCACAAGTCGATTCGTCAGGTCTGGCCCTTGTAGCAACTTAATTGTCTTGCCTTGTCGTTCAGCGACGTGCCTCCGAATCTGCCGCTACAGTCGAACGCCACTCCCTTCTTGACATGGTAAACTTGAATCATCTTTGCGAGAATAAAATGAGACATTACCTTCGAGAAAATCCCTTGGCAATGATGCTGCTCAAAAAGTTAAGTTAAACATAGTCTCCTTGAATTTTCTAACTCTTAAGAAGCTTCTTTCTTAACCGGTGCACTGTTCTCTTTAAATGACTTACTCTTTATTCTCAGGAAACCATAGATGGTCACTCCGGAAAGGAAGGGGGGTTTCATAATGACAGTCTTTGGGGTGACGAATTTCCTGGTAACCGCAACATTTTCGCTAACTTTTCTCATTTCTCTCTTTTTATCATAAAGTGGTGGTCGAGGTGTCTACCTATGAACCAACTCCTTTAATTGCAGCCACTCTGTGGGCAACTCACACCTGTATTGCTCTAAGCCGCATATATACAGAGGTGCAATAATTACTTATAAGTGATTTGGTTAATTACGCAGCGATCATATTTATGACTTTTTAAGCTTATCTGAAGATCCGGTGCATAAATAGACCAGTCTTATGCTCAATTCGAAGGGCAAGCACATTATTATTACACCCGAATCATAGCTCACACAGATTCGTCCGTCGCTGCAAAGCTTTCAACACGCGATGAGGAAGTCTTCTTTTACGACCTTGGTCTTCCCTCAGCCGAAGGAACAGAAAATACAGAAACACAAAACAGACGAAAGCAAACAGGTGGAGACAAAATAATCAACTTGAGCTAAGCTGATGATCCTGACCCATTGGCGCGTAGAATAACCCACACTATGGCCAACACTATTGCTCATCCAGGAATGGTCTGATGGCGAAAGGAACACCATTTTCACTTCCTTATAAGTCTATTCTTGCAGTTTGAGGAAATCAGAGGACCGATCCTGATATTAAGTAACCGTGGAGACATGTTTTTGGCTGAGATGTTTCCAGCGATGGGCGAGCTCAGGCGTTGGCACGTTTTTGGGTGTGGAAAGTTCTTCTTTTATAATGAATTTCATCGGCAGCTGCACGGGATTCTCTCATTTCAAGTCCATAACGGCTAAATAATCCATTCAAGTCCTTAATGCCGAGCGACTTTGTACCATTGGCGGTCTTCACCATTAGCTGTGTACTCATGCCCTTCACCCTGGACGTGGCTGCGATATCGTTAAAAACGAACGAAGCGGTACAACAGGTGTTGAGCTGGAGCATGATACAGTTTGCTGGTGAAGAGAAGGGCTTAGCTTCTTGGTGGCCTCCTGATTGGGAGGGAGGGATTCGTCATGTGGTCCTGTTGAATGTAGACATTAAAGCAGCTCTTAAAGGTCCTTCGCTGGTTACAACTGTTGGCTCTAATTACAGGATTGTAGAAGTCAAAGCAAATCGCCTTCTTTTTCCTCTTTGGCACTCGGGTTTTCTTTAAGTATTTTTGACAATCATGACTCTTGGTAGAGGCTAGTGGGGTTGAGTGAGCCAGCGGTTACCTCGGTCACGTGATTGAAGGAGTGATGCGAAATGCGCTTTTCCCCAGACATTTTACACATGTAAGAGCCTTTTCCTTTTCTAGAACGATCAGGTCAAACTGAGGAACCATGCAAATAATTGAGCGCTCCTCGCTGGAGCCCTTGATCGGTCGAAACATTTCACTTCTTCATTAACAAAATTCACGAAGTCGGCGGGGGAAACGCCCCTCTTGTCACTCTCCTGTTATTTTATTCTCGGCCCCATCGGCTTTGAAGCGTAACTGGATGCTTTATAAGTGACTCTTTTTTACAAGTTGCGAAGATGGTTGAGAATAGCAAGGAGGGTTAGAGTTGATATCGCGCTCTGGCACTGACTAAGCAAGAGGGAAAATCTGTAAAATTCCCGCTCATCCACTGGTTGGATGGAGGTCGTTAATCTTCTTAAGGAGCCTATGCCGGGGATGGACATCTTGTAACGGTGCCCATACTTAGCGTCCGGGTAGCCACTTCGTCAAGGTAGAGACATCCGTTGAAAAGGTATTTGGGTTCTTTGTGTAAATACTTCTCTAATTATTGTAGACTAACACATCATATGGGCTGAATTTAGTTTCTACTTGCCAGTAACAACTTGGTTTGAATTAGGAATACTCCAATGGATCCCCAGTTAACGTGGTCAGGGTCAGTGAAGGCAGTAAATTCTGTAATTGCTGCGCTTCTAGCAATTCGGTTAACCGGTTTTGTTGCTAAAGAAGTCAAAAAACGTAATTTGCAATTTCACGTACATCAGCCTGATAGTTCACTTGGCAGATATTCTTGCTTCTGTAATCCTACTGCCTCAGTATCCTGCATGCTTAACTCGGTGACTTGAAATCCATGTGCTAAAGGATTCAGACTGAGATGCTGCATTATTTTCGGAAGGGTTCGCATCACAGCATCGTCATATAAATCAGCAATAAAGTTTAAATTATTCACAGTGTTTGACTTGCCACTTATTCGGCGGCGTTGATCTTAAAAAGACTCTAACTCTGTCTGCATCGATCAATTGGCTAGAAGATCTACTAGACGGCTGCGAACGAGCGATAGTGTCCAAACTCTGTTCGATGGTCTCTTTCGCAGATGAGACTCAAGCGAAAAGTTAGCTCTATACCTCTCGCTCTGGTGGGCGTACCAAACGTTCGCACCTTTAAATCATCCTCAGTCTCAAGATCGTCCAAAAGTGCAGCGTCATTTGTCTTACGTTCTAAAATGTAATACTAAATGAAGCCAGATTCTTCAAACGACAACCATTTTTTCGCTAGTAGCTAAAGAATCGATTCCCTTTCTTTACCGACCAACTGAGAGTCTGTCCACCAAATGTTAACCATGATCAATAATTATAGCTCTTTCCTTTCTTTATAAATTCTAATTAGAGACTTCGCCGAGGACGGAGTTTTCTTCAGAGTATTTTACAGAAACCTTGCTTTGTTACTTCTTCGCGTTTTGTTATTAGCATTATTTTATTGTTTTGTTGCAAAATAAACATACTTCACTTGCTGAAAATGGTGAAAATTTAATAAGCGCCCAGCCTCGAATAAGCGCCCACTCTCAAGGTCCAAAAGTTTAATAAGGGCCCAGGGCGGTTAATCGAATAAATACGGTAACTGGATTTATGTAAAAAACAAAATGTGTATTATTTGTCCGAATTTGCTAATACGTGCCTCTTGAGATTTGAGGAGCGTCTTAACATTTTTCTATTTATTTTAGGCACAATATCTCTTTGGATTCCTGTCTATTGAAATTTTATTTTCGATTTTTTTTTTACCAGACATTGATGAATGCAAGAGCGAAAGTCATGATTGTCACGTAAATGCAAACTGTATTAACACTCTTGGCTCTTATAACTGCTCTTGTTGGTCTGGCTACAATGGGAATGGGACCATTTGTACAGGTATTATGAAAAAGTTGTTCCATTCTTCCTTGATAAATATATAGAGGATATTACATGGCCGCTTGGAGATACGAAATTTCTCTTCGAGTGTTGAAAAATACTTCACGAGTGAGCGAGTGAAATATTTTCAACACGAAAAGAGGATAGAGAAATTTCGTATCTCCAAGCGGCCATGTAATGTTCTATTTATTATATAAACACCAATGAAATACCAAACCATTTCACAGAAACCGTTTTTTTCCTGCGAAAATAACATGTTATTTTCACGTGTGAAGATATCATGTTTTCGCGCGAATGCTCACCTGGTATTTCATTGGTGTTTATATGATAAGAAATAATACCTAGTAAAACCAAAGTTTAGGGAATGAGGGCGACATAGATCGAAGGTTAAAACACTCCTGCTTCAGTAAAGGCAGTGCTTGGAGGAAGTTTCATGTGATCGAAGATCAAAATGCGTGCGATCAGGTTACGAATGATAGAAGGTCCAAACGCGTGTGATCAAATTACATTCTACGCATTCAATTCGTTCTTCTTAGTGGAAATCCAAACTAATGCTAGCTGCAAATCGTGCCGCTCATGCATAATCGCAACCTGAAGGTAGCATTGCTGGTACAGTATCGTTTTCAAATCCTGTCTAGTTAAATCTCTAGATCTCCAAAATTCTTCATATGATGCGAAAGCGGAATTCAATAATTGCTTTATTATTCATTAAAAGTAATTCCTAGTTTAAAAACAAAGCTAAAACAAGCTTACCTGCATCGATGTTACGTTTATCTTCGATAGTTTATGTTTAGGTTTGTCCAGCTCCGCAAATATTCTCCAAATAGCACATGTCGCCCTCCGAGTTGTCTTCTTGCTGTTTTTGCTATGTTTTTAGCCCTCATTTCGCCTAGTTCCAGCTGTAATTCTTACTCTTGAAACAAGTGAAGTGTCCGCCATTTTCGTTTTTACAACGAAAACAACTCAATCCCGCCCCAGGTCTTCTCGGTTAACGGTGCACTAACCTGAATATTCTGCATTTTTGACGTCATTTCCTGCTTGGACATCAGTAACTGGTTATGGTGAATTATGCGTTTGCTTTTAGCCAATCAGAATTGGGGAAATATTTTGAATGAATAATAAGGAGTATTATGTTATGCCCAGGGGGCACTCGCTCAGTATTTTACGCGCGCTTTTTGGGCAAAAAGAGAATTTTCATTTTATATTTCTCGGGAAAAAGGCAATCATTATTACATCCAAACATGGCACAACGTTTTTTTCCCATTACAATCTTTCTTAGGAAAACCTAAAGAAAAACTGGCCCAAAAAGCGCGCGTAAATACGGAGTGAGTATATCAGATCGTGCTCATGCTCCCTGGGCATCCTATAATACTCCTTAAATCTAATTAATTTAATATGGCCGCAGTATCGGTAAAACGGTCTATTATAACCACATTAAGACAACAACTCAAATGCCGTGAAAACACTAAAGACGGCTGTTGTTTTACTGAAAAAGTAGACAAGGCTGAGGTAAAACTAGAAAGGAAAATACAATAGACCATTTTCTATATATTAAAATTCACACTTGGCTCCGAGGTTTGGGGGAATATAACAAAAGAAATGTATTATTTATTGCTGAGCCTCAAGATGATTTCTTTTATTTTAGTCCCCCAAGCCTCGCAGACAAGTATGAAATTTAATATCTCGGAATTGGTCTATTGAAAGATCTCAATTACATGCGACGAGTAATGTACTAGGCCAACAAGGACGAATGAAAACTTAACTAGAAAATACAAACGGCCAAATAATAAACCCAATAAAATAAGAAAGCGAAAAGAAAGGCTAAGTACACCTTGTGAACGAAACCATTCTGCAGGCCCGGCCAGGGGTTTTGGGTATTCAGGTATCCGGGGTCTTTATTTATTCAGGTATACGGTATTTCGGTGCTAAATATGGGTATTTAGTATCTTGCTTTCTTAATCTTTGGCATTCGGCATTTAGGCACGAGTGTTTGAAGTTTTTTTTTAAATACATGAATGTATGTTGACACAGTGATTGAGATGTGTTCAACAGAAGTTCGCCAGGGGTTGAGAATGGAAAGGGATGGATAAAGGCCGCGCCCTGTAGTGCACCAAAACTTAGGCATTCTGTGTCTGGGTGTATTAATTATATCTCACCAGGCTGCTTAACCATCACAATTTCTTAGAGATTGCCCCGATTTTGCTTGAAAAACTCCAATCCTGGCCAATATGCAATTCTTAATATATAGATTTAGCAATGGCTAAAAGCGAAGCTCTCATTAATAAATTTATGATTTAAATAAAAAAATAAAGTTGTATTCCACATATCAGTTAACTTTAGAGCACATTCATGTGACTTTTGAGGGACAGGCTAAGTGCAAGGGACTGAATGCAGTATTCACAATTTTGCAATACAAATTGCACTCATTCAATATTCAGGTCGATCGAAGTACGCGTGGGCTTTTAGCGAAACCGTTCAAAAATTTCCAAAATCACCTATACGGCCAGCCGGTTCTCACTTTTGACAAGCGTCAAATTTGCAGTGCTATCTGTGTAGAGTCTTTGAATGAACATTAAGAATCTATCACGTTTATTTTTATTAATGCGTTTATAATGATGTGTAATCTTCAAAAGCGTTTGATACGCGCGGAATTTTGCGTACTGTTGGGCAAATTTTTTCCTTTTGTTTTTCGTTTTCTCACTTACTTGTTATAGTGTATTCTTTTTCTTTTCGCTCTCCGGTATTTCGTTAATTACGCTCCTTTGTTACGTGCTGTATGTAAATTTCGTTATAGTTTGTTATCTCGCCCTTTTTTTACCAGTTTACGTGTCTATTAGTCTAACAGCATTAGTGGAAGTAGATTTTTTCCCTCGGTGGCCCTGACCACCAACCCTGTCATCCTCAGCATTTGGTAAGCAGCTTCGTTTTCGTCGTTTTTCATTAATTTCATTTCGCAGCCGCCTTAAAGTAGTTTTTCTGTATTGTAACTATTATTTTTTGGCTCTTTGTAGGAATTTACTTTTATGATTCGTTAATAGTAAAAGCATTTGCTGATCGTGAACGTGTTGTGTGTTTGGAATTGGCCCTTGCCCGTTCATTTTGTAAATTCCAAATGACGGAGTAAATTATGGCGCATTCATGGACAGCCTCGAATACCCGCTCAAATTCTCGGAGAAAAATGGCGAGTTCATTTCAAGAAGAAGCGTTACAAGAAGCTTTATTCAGCTTACGAAAGTCACTGGCAGGATATGTTTCAGCAATGACAAGAGCTTGTCAGCAAATTGATCCTCTTCTCGTCGATTACGGGAATCTGGCGAGCGTAAAATCTCTTCAAGCTAGTTTGGATAAGACATGGAAGAATTATCGAGAAAGCATCGCACGTTATGGAAGTCTCTTGGACGGAAACAGCATGGAGATTCACGAAGTAAATAATCAGTACTCCTCTCAGGAATTACGAAAGGACAACTACGATCAAAAGATTAAGGAATTCACTATCGCTGCGGCTACACATTTTAACGAGCAAGTATCTCGATACCTAGCGAACATTGGTTTGGCATCGCCAACACCATCTGTTCGCTCCGTAAGCAGTCGCGCTTCAAAGTTAAGCGAAGCAGGGGGAAAGGCTTCACAACAGGAAGATGGCGGCGGCAAAGGCTACTTTAATGTAAAAGCAAACTGAATTGAGAAAGAAAAGGTTGAAGCTAAATTTGCAGAAGCCGAGTTCTCGCAACTTTTGTTAAATGGAGATTTATCACCTAGCCGTGCTCTCAACCCTGTAGAACTGACTCCTAAAATTATTCCTGTCACCTCGTCACTCCCGGTTAGTAGTGGGGGAGGGACCGGTTACTCCGGTTTTTTGCGGATTTAATTAGCTTTTTGAGCGGTAAAAATTAACGCAGATGACGTCATGCATCTCATTAAGATAGGATGATGTCATAGTTTAAATTAATGCCGATGACGTCATACATCTCATTAAGATAGGATGATGTCATAGTTTAAATTAATGCCGATGACGTCATGCACCTTTAAGATAGGATGATGTCATAGTTTATTTTTAGCTGGCAAGGAGCAAGTGACATCAGAATTTCCTAGAGTTGACGTCATAAAAAAATATTGAGATTATAATCTATAAACAGAAAAGTTATTTTTCTATAATTAGCTATTTGCTATAGCCTTCTGATTAGATATTGTTTGCTATACTCTTCTGATTGGATATTGTGGAAACTGTTATGTGTTCAAAATAAAAGCGGGCAAATTTTGAACGTGTTATCTTTGCAGATTACACTAAATGAAAAATCTTTAATCATTAAATTATTTTCTCTAAAAATCGGTTATAAACAAAACCAAGACACGGAGGTTAAGTGAAAAATCTTTACTTCAAAAGAAGGGAAAAGGAGGTTAAGCGAATGCGAAATCGTACTAATTTTTAAGCAAAACATGAAAACGAGGTCGAAGCTCAGCGAAGCGAAAAACTGCCTATCAAGCAAAAATGTCAATCTTTGTTTACTTGACTCTGTAAAAAGTATTGCACAGGGTATAAAAATTCTATAGAAAACAACAGGTGGTTCTAAAGTAAACCCTAACTCTTTTGGTTCTTGAATAAACTCCATTCTAGTAACGAATAAGTGGAGCGTCTATTTTAAAAAAAGATAGGAATAAGAGGTGCGATCGCCTGGCAACACATGTCTTCTTATTTAGTGCTAAAAATCGGATATATAAACAAAACACACCCCCACATACACAAAGTGGAGCTGAAAATTCTCTATTTCAATTTCGAATCACCAATACAAAAGCGTTTTCTCCGTTCCATCTCGAGGAAACGACTAACTATTGAAGTCTCAGCCCTTGCGCTTG